CTGCTTTGATAATCTGGATTATATGGCAGTGTAAATGGGAACCAGGGCAGGTTCTACACTTCCCTATATCCCAAGATCACATCCCAGATTATCTGTTTATCCCAGATTATCTGGCAGTGTAGACTCACATAATCCAGTTCAAAGCATATAATGTGGATTATCTGCTTTGATAATCTGGATTATATGGCAGTGTAAAAGGGACCCAGTGCAGGTTCTACACTTCCCTGTATACCAGAATCAGATGCCAGATTATCTGGCAGTGTAGACTCACATAATCCAGTTCAAAGCATATAATGTGGATTATCTGCTTTGATAATCTAGATTATATGGCAGTGTAAAAGGGACCCAGCACAGGTTCTACACTTCCCTATATCCCAGGATCACATCTCAGATTATCTGTTTATCCCAGATTATCTGGCAGTGTAGACTCATATAATCCAGTTCAAAGCAGATAATCTGGGATCACATCCCGGGATGTAGGGCAGTGGAGATCCAGCCTAAGATCCCTTCGTTTTGCCAAAGTGAAGCACACAATGACAGGTTTTGCCCAGTTAGTTTGTGAAGTTGCTTTGAAGGTATGCCTCTTGATGTGAGCCTCCGTGCCAAACTAAATATGTACATCACGGCTATTTAGGAGTATCCCAATTCTGTCTACACCTCCCTGTGAGCAAATGGGCCATGGCTAATGCTCCCTTTGGCGTGGCCAGTGAGTTTGCCCTTAGTCAGCATGATCTCATTGGCTTTGGCGACTCCCATTGGGTGGCTTCCCTTTCTGGACTCAGCAAATGCTGCGTCAATACATGCCTCCACTGGTTAAATAAATAGCCACTTTCTCATCCATCAAGGGCTTAAAGGGTGGCTTCCTCTGGCCTGGGCCTCGGAGTTAATGCAATTATTTATGGGGTGTGCATGCTTTTAGGATTTAAGATTATTATGGGTTGTGCCCATTTCACAGATTTTTTTTTTTCATGTCAGGAGCGACTTGAGAAATTGTAAGTTGCTTCTGGTATGAGAGAATTGGCTGTCTGCAAAGACGTTGCTCAGGGGACACTCGGATGCTTGATGTTTTACCATTCTTGTGGGAGGCTTCTCTCATGTCCCTGCATGGGGAGCTGGAGCTGACAGAGGGAGCTCAACCCGTTCTCCCCGGATTTGAACCACTGACCTGTTGGTTAGTAGTCCTGCTGGCACAAGTAGTCCTGCTGGGTTTAACCCACTGTGCCACCAGGGACTCCATGTCACAGATGCAAAAGGGACTGTGGCGCAGCTGGCTGGGAGTGAGCTGCATTAAGATCACTACTGACCATAAAGGTCATGAGTTTGAAGCCAGCCCGGGTCGGAGTGAGCTTCCAACCAATTTGTCTAGCTTTCTGTCAACCTTTTCAATCCAAAAGACAGTTGCATCTGTCAAGTAGGAAATTGAGGTACTGCTTATGCGGGGAGGCTATTTTACGATGTCATAAAAATCTCCAGCAAGCATGCAAAGAATGAGGAAGTACTTCATCAGTGTCACGAATGGACAGTGAAGCGACAGCTCCCCTGGTGGCTAGAATATGTGATTATGTGATTATAAATAATGTTACTGTTTTTAATCTGCTATGTATTTATGATTTTACGTTGTTGTTATTGATATTGTGGCATCAAAGTTTTTCAGCCTCCTTTTTTAGGCTGAAAAAGGTCCCTTCGGCTTATACTCGAGTCAAGGTTATTTATTATTTTACTCTGTTATTAGTATTAGTTTTATTTCATGTATTATTTTACCCTATTATTATTGCATTTAGGCAAGGCTCAAGTCCTTGTAAAACTACAACTCCCATGTTGTGAACTCCTGGAGTCTCTTTGGCGCTGTGTTTTCCCTTAAATTGGTGTGCAACCCATTAAAGGACCCACGAGGGGCCCCTGGCATTCCTCTTTCTCATCTTTCTTTGTGAGGTCTGTTTCCTCTTTGGAGGTGTTTGGAAAGGAATGTGTGCGAAGGAAAGCAAGCAAGCAAGAAATTGAGCCATCCGAATAGTGTCTTTGGCATGAAGGGAATTTGGTAAATAAGGAAACCACATTAAGCTTTCCGCTGCAGAAAAATAGGGGAAGGTTCGTCGGGAAATGTGTCATTTTGCAATGTGTCGGGTCTGAAGCAGGGAAGCATTTATGGCAAACGTGTTAATTGTATTGTCGAAGGCTTTCATGGCCGGAATCACTGGGTTGTTGTAGGTTTTTTCAGGCTATATGGCCATGTTCTAGAGGCATTTTCTCCTGACGTTTCGCCTGCATCTATGGCAAGCATCCTCAGAGGTTGTGAGATCTGTTGGAACTAGGGAAATGGGTTTATATATCTGTGGAATGACCAGGGTGGGACAAAGGACTCTTGTCTGCTGGAGCTAGGTGTGAATGTTTCAACTCACCACCTTGATTAGCATTTGATAGCCTGGAAGTGCCTGAAGCAATCTTTTGTTGAGAGGTGATTAGATGTCCCTGATTGTTTTCCCTTTGCTGTTTTGCTGTTTTAATTTTAGAGTTTTTTTAATACTGGTAGCCAGATTTTGTTCATTTTCATAGTTTCCTCCTTTCTGTTGAAATTGTCCACATGCTTGTGGATTTCAATGGCTTCTCTGTGTAGTCTGACATGGTGAAGCCACTGAAATCTGAGGTTGCCTGCCATAGATGTGGGCGAAACGTCAGGAGAGAATGCTTCTGGAACATAGCCATACAGCCTGGAAAACTTACAGCGACTCAGTGATTCCGGCCATGAAAGCCTTAAAAAATCTCTAAAATTACAACAGCAAAACAACAGAGAGGAAACAATCAGGGACATCTAATCACTTCTCAACAAAAGATTGCCCCAGGCACCAACAAGCCACTGCTAGGTCATCAAATGCTAATCAAGGTGGTCAGGTGAAACATTCACACCTAGCTCCAGCAGACAAGAGTTCTTTGTCCCTCCCTGGTCATTCCACAGATATATAAACCCCTTTTCCTAGTTTCAACAGACCTCACTACCTCTGAGGATGCTTGCCATAGATGCAGGCGAAACGTCAGGAGAGAATGCCTCTAGACCATGGCCATATACCCCGAAAAAACATACAACAACCCGTGTTAATTGTGTTTGTCATTCCTCTCTGCAAATGGCATTTTGCGAATGCAGTGAAAAGAGGACTCGATGTCCAACCTGATCTCTAATTTTGTGGCTTCTTGCATCACAGTATCCCCAAGTTTCCAAAATTTTGGTGCAGTTTTATTCTATACTAGCCACCCCCTGCCACGCATTGCTGTGGCCCAGTTTGGTGAACTGGAAAATAAAGTAATGAGAAAGTGTTGGTTTCTAATCTATGTAATTTCTTTATGCTTGTGGGTAAACAGTATTTCTTGTTGTTTCTTTGTCAGTGTTGATGTGGAGAGTGTCTGGTTTGCCTACTCTGGAACATGCAACATATCATTGTCCTTCTTTCAAATCTATGATACTATATCTCTCTCTGTGTGAATCATATCTATCTATCTATCTATCTATCTATCTATCTATCTATCTATCTATCTATCTATCTCTATGGTTGGATGGCTCTTTGTCAGGAGGGTTTTGATTACGTTTTCTTGCCCTGGTGAAGGGAGTTGGACTGGATGGCCTTGAGTATTTTCTGTTGGTCATGGGGGTTCTGTGTGGGAAGTTTTCCCAATTCTGTTGTTGGAGAGGTTCAGAATGCTCTTTGATTGTAGGTGAACTATAAATCCCAGTAAATACAACTCACAAATGTCAAGGTCTATTTCCCCCAAACTCCATCTGTGTTCATATTTGGGCATATTGAGTATTCGTGCCAAGTTTGGTCCAGATCCATCATTGTTTGAGTCCGCAGTGCTCTCTGGATGTAGGTGAACTACAACTCCCAAACTCAAGGTCAATGCCCACCAAACCCTTCTAGTGTTTTCTGTTGGTCATGGGAGTCCTGTATGCCACGTTTGTTCAATTCTATCATGCTATTTGATTGTAGGTGATCTATAAATACCAAGCAACTACAACTCCAAAAAGACAAAATCAATTTTGAGTGAAGGCATACATTGGTTTGTTAGGTGTATTGTGTCCAAATTTGGTGTCAATTCGCAGTGGTTTTTGAGTTATGTTAATCCCACAAACGAACATTACATTTTTATTCATATAGACTAGCCATCCCCTGCCACATGTTGCTGTGGCCCACATGGGGGTTCTGTGGAGGAGGTTTGGCCCAATTCTATCATTGATGGGGTTCAGAATGCTCTGTGATTGTAGGTGAACTATAAATCTCAGCAACTACAACTCCCAAATGTCAAGATTCTATTTGCCCCAAACTCCACCAGTGTTCACATTTAGGCATATTGAGTATTCGTGTAGTTTGGTCCAGGTCCATCATTGTTTGAGTCCACAGTGATCGCTGGATGTAGGAGAACTATAACTCCAAAACCAAAGGACACTGCCCATCAAACCCTTCCAGTATTTTCTATTGGTCATGGGAGAACTGTGTGCCAAGACTGGTTCAATTCCATTGTTGGTGGAGTTCATAATGCTTTTTGATTGTAAGTGAACTATAAATCCCAGCAACTACTACTCCCAAATGACAAAATCAATTTTTTTGAGTGAAGGACATACATTGGGTTGTTAGGTATATTGTGCCCAAATTTGGTGTCAATTCGTCCAGTGTTTTCTGAGTTCTGTTAATCCCACAAACGAACATTATATTTTTATTTATATAGATTGCAGTCTCAAAGCAGAAGTTTTTGTGTTCCGAATTATTTTGGAACAGGAATACTCAATCCGGAAAAATGGTGGAAAAGAACTATATGGTTCTTTTAGGCTTTTTCTGCCCGATCTGTGGACGAAATTTGGTCTTGGGCCTTGCTTTGCTGCCGTTGAGTCTCACCTGTAAACAATGGCAGTGGATTTATGAGCCCAACTGGCATTGACCTCACCCTTTTCCTGTGTTTTAATGGACTTGGCGAGACATTATTTGATTAACCGGTGCATATCTCTATGCTTCCAGATCAGGCCCTGAAACGCTATTGGAGTGGTTTCCTCTCGCCATCCAGTTTTGCTTCTCTATGTGTCCGCAGATGAAGGATTGAGCCCAATCATTGCAGTACAAACAGAGAGGTAAGAGTCTTGGATGCACCATGTGTATTTACTCGAATTTAATGCTCACCCTTTTCGGGCTAAATGACCTCCCCAAAATTATGGTACACATTACATTCACGTCATACTATCATCTTAATGCTGAGTCAAAGCAAAAGGTGAAGCTGCTTCTGGAGCTCCTCTTTGAGGGACCTCACCTCTAATCAATGCTGTTACATCCTGGGATTTGTAGTTTAGTGAGACATCAGCCTTCTTTGGCAGGGAATCATAGACTCAGAGTTGGAAGAGTCCTCACGGAGCCATCCAGTCCAACCCATTCTGCCAAGAAGCAGGAAAATCACATTCAAAGCACCTCTGACAGATGGCCATCCAGCCTCTGCTTAAAAGCCTCCAAATTAACGCTAGCCAGAGGCGGCCCTAGGTAATTTTCAATGGTAAGCAAACAGTATTTTGCCTCCCGCCCCCCAAACCAATCACTGATATATATTTTCTGTTCGTCGTGGGAGTTCTGTGTGCCATATTCGGTTCAATTCCATCATTGGTGGAGTTCAGAATGCTCTTTGATTGTAGGTGAACTATACATCCCAGTAACTACAACTCGCATATGTCAAGGTCTATTTTCCCCCAAGAGCGCCTCAAGAGCACCCTGGGCAAAATAAACTATACTGCAAATGCTTACTTTGCGTAATGGGTTGAGCCACCCCTGCCTACACCACTCTCCAGGGCAGAGAGTTCCACTGCTGAACAGCTCTCACAGTTAGGAAGTTCTTCCTAATGTTCAGGTAGAATCTCCTTTTCTGTAGTTTGAAGCTTTTTGCATCCTCGTCTCCAAGGCAGCAGAAAACAAGCCTGCTTCCTCTTTCCTATGACTTCCTCTCACATATGTATACATGGCCCTTGTCATGTTTCCTCTCAGCCTTCTCTTCTTCAGGCTAAACATGCCCAGCTCTCTAAGGCTCAAAACCTTGTCAAACTACAGCTCCCTTGACTCCATAGCATTGATCCAATCCAATTAAATTGGATTTATTCTACAGCATAGATGCATCCCAAGGTTTTCCTTTCAATTACTGGAAGTTTTGAAGTCCTAACACAATTATTTACAGTGAAAGAATCCTAAGCAGGCAGCAACTGCAATGCACACTTTTTTGGCCAAAAAGTGCACTTTTTGCCACTGTGCATTACATTTGGCTGCAAATACTTTTTTGCAGGATTTTGGCCTGCATCAATAGGAGTCTAGTGTCTAGATCAGTGGTTCTCAACCTGGGGTCCCAGATGTTATTGGCCTACAACTCCCAGTTTACCAGCTGTAGGATTTCTGGGAGTTGAGGCCAAAAACATCTGGGGACCCCAGGTTGAGAACTACTGGTCTAGATCCAGGGAAGTCATGCTACTCCTCTATTCTGCCTTGGTTAGACCACACCTGGAATATTGTGTCCAATTCTGGGCACCACAATTCAAGAGACAAGCTGGAATGTGTCCAGAGGAGGGCGACTAAAATGATCAAGGGTCTGGAGAACAAGCCCTATGAGGAGCGACTTAAAGAGCTAGGCATGTTTAGCCTGAAGAAGAGAAGGCTGAGAGGAGACATGATAGCCATGTATAAATATGTGAGAGGAAGCCACAGGGAGGAGGGAGCAAGCTTGTTTACTGCTTCCTTGGAGACTAGGACACAATGGAACAATGGCTTCAAACTACAAGAGAGGAGATTCCATCTGAACATGAGGAAGAACTTCCTGACTGTGAGAGCCGTTCAGCAGTGGAACTCTCTGCCCCAGAGTGTGGTGGAGGCTCCTTCTTTGGAGGCTTTTAAACAGAGGCTGGATGGCCATCTGTCAGGGGTGCTTTGAATGCAATTTTCCTGCTTCTTGGCAGGGGGTTGGACTGGATGGCCCATGAGGCCTCTTCCAACTCTATGATTCTATGATTCTATCTATGATTCTAGGGATCCTCAAACATTTTAAACAGAGGGCCAGGTCACAGTCCCTCAAACCGTTGGAGGGCCAGATTACAATTTGAAAAAAAAAAAGAATGAATCCCTATGCACATTGCACATATTTGTAGTGCAAAAAAACCCGCTGAAAAACAATATAATAATTAAAATGAGGAACAATTTCAACAAATATAAACTTTAGTATTGCAACTGGAAGTGTTGGCCTGCTTTTGGCTGATGAGATAGGATTGTTGTTGTTGTTGTTGTGTGCTTTCAAGTCATTTCAGACTTAGGTCGACCCTGAGTGAGGGCCAGGAAAACGACCTTGGAGGGCCGTATCCGGCCCCCGGGCCTTAGTTTGAGGAACCCTGGTCTAGAGTATGAGCTCTCCTTCCCAGTTTGGTCCCATCAGCAAACGTAATCAGCCTGCTTTGTTTTCCATCATCCAAGTCATTGATGAAGATCCTGAATAGCCCCGAAATACCCCCTTTTATGCCCTCCAAAGTCACTCCTCTCTAGGATGAAGAAGAAGAGCCCTTGGTCAGAAACCCCTTTTTGCTGCACCAACATCTTTGTGAAGGAGGGGTAAACACACAACAATATGGAAAATGGGAGCGAATTCTAGAAAATTGGACCCCGAGCTTGCAAAAGTGCAAGGACCTTTCTCTAACTTCAAGGGCATTCCATTTCCTGTTGAAAATGCTCCAGCCTTTTGGGACCTGCAGCAAGTAGCAAAGATCTCCAGCTGAGACCTGTTTCTCTTAGTGGATCAGGTGCTATTGGTCTGGTGGCACTGGGAGCCTTTCTGTTTATTTACCATTTTCCCATGCTCTTCACCGGTGTTTAATCTCTGGGCGTTTCTCCGTTTTTTATGGCTCCAAACCCTCCTTTGTTGGCATTAGTCCTCCATACCATTGCTATTAAATAAGAATTGTAATTCCTAGCCTTTGAGTTTCCTTTGTAAAGAGAAAAAGCGAGGTATAATAATATAATAACACCTATAATAACTCAACAACAAGAACAGCCTTGACGACAACAACAGCCACCACTACCACCACCATCACCACCACCTGATAAATAGAATTTTGGTTTGAATTGTTTCTTTTCCCTAACAACAACAATTATTATTATTATTATTATCATCATCATTATTATTATTAGAATCATAGAATCATAGAGTTGGAAGAGACCTCATGGGCCATCCAGTCCCACCCCCTGCCTGGAAGCAGGAATATTGCATTCAAAGCACCCCAAACAGATGACCATCCAGCCTCTATTTAAATGATTCCAAAGAAGGACCCTCTACCACACTCCGGGGCAGAGAGTTCCACTGCTGAACGGCTCTCACAGTCAGGAAGTTCTTCCTCATGTTCAGATGGAATCTCCTTTTTTGTAGTTTGAAGCCATTGTTCCGTGTCCTAGTCTCCAGGGAAGTAGAAAACAAGCTTGCTCCCTCCTCCCTATGACTTCCTCTCACATATTTATATCATTATTATTATTATTATTATTATTACTATTATTATTATTATGAAACACAAGATGAGTCCACAGCAGACAAGACCACTCTGCTGGCTGTTGTATTGGATCACACGTCGAACACTTCCCAAGTGTCTAGAACTGTGTGATGTATTGGTGAATAATGCATACCGATCCCAGTAAGGTGGCCTTCTGCAGTTGGCAGCTGATAATTTTGTCAGCACCAATTTTTTTTAAGTGCAGGCCAAGGTCTTTAGGCACTGCACCCAGTGTGTCGATCACCACTGGGACCACCTTGACTAGTCTTTGCAGTTCGATCTTTAAATCCTCATATCGTGTCAGCTTTTCCAGTTGTTTCTCTTCAATCCTGCTGTCGCCTGGGATTGCAACATTGACAATCCATACTTTGTTTTTTAACACGATTGTGAGGTCAGGAGTATTGATGTTCCAAAACTCTGTCTGTCTGAATTCAGAAGCCCAGAGAGTTTGATGATAAATAGTTCATCATCGTCATCATTGTAACTGTTATTATTATTATTATTATTATTATTATTATTATTATTATTTTACTGACACAAAAGCACAGTATGTCACAGCAAACGAGATCTATATGCTGGATTTCGTATCACAAATCACAAGTCGAACACTTCCCAAGCGTCTAGGACTGTGTGATGTATTATTATTATTATTATTATTATTATTATTATTATTATTATTATTATTTTACCCACCTCTCCCCAAGGCTTAAGACAGGATACAACACTGGTAAAACTCATAGACACAAACATGACTGTTAGCCTTTTAATTTGTGGGTTTTCTTTCCCTTTCCTGGTTCATGAAGGTCTCGTTTCTCTCCTGTCCCTTTGCAGGTCCTGCAAAAAAATGGCCAGCGTTACCCAGATATCCAAAGACGAACTGGAGGAACTCAGGGAGGCTTTTGCCAAAGTTGGTAAGTTTTGGGGTTTGCAAAGGGTGCATTTAGGCATCAAAACCCAGATGTCAAATCTGCAAGAAAACTAGGCTCGTGCACGGATTCAGATTGGTTGGTTCCCTTCGGCCAATCTGGCTTGTTTGGCTTGTTCAGTTGGCCGTAACAGTAAGGGCTCAGCCATCACGTTTTTTTTTCCCGCGTGAAACAGCCCACATTGCTTTCAGGCATGACTTCTTTCCTTCGATTCAGGAGCATGTTGTGCATGATTCCTTACCTCCATTCCCCAAGCTCAGGCTCCCTGGAAAGGAAGAAAGGAAAGGATCGCAGGAATGGAAAGGGGAGCCTTGTAAGTTCCCCATTCCCATCAATGGGCTGGATCTTCCCAGATGAAGGGCTAGGAGGCAGGATCATCAAGTTTGCAGACGACACCAAATTGGGAGGGATAGCAAATACTTCAAAGGACAGGAGCAGGATTCAAAACAATCTTGACAGATTAGAGAGATGATTGGCCAAAACTCACAAAATGAAGTTCAACAGTGACAAATGCAAGATACTCCACTTTAAACAATCTTGACAGATTAGAGAGATGGGCCAAAACTAACAAAATGAAGTTCAACAGGGACAAATGCAAGATACTCCACTTAGGCAGAAAAAACGAAATGCAAAGATCCAGAATGGGGGACAATGCCTGGCTCGAGAGCAGTACGTGTGAAAAAGATCTTGGAGTCCTCGTGGACAACAAGTTAAACATGAGCCAACAATGTGATGTGGCAGAAAAAAGCCAATGGGATTTTGGCCTGCATCAATAGGAGCATAGTGTCTAGATCCAGGGAAGTCATGCTACCCCTCTATTCTGCCTTGGTTAGACCACACCTGGAATATTGTGTCCAATTCTGGGCACCACAATTCAAGAGAGATATTGACAAGCTGGAATGTGTCCAGAGGAGGATGACTAAAATGATCAAGGGTCTGGAGAACAAGCCCTATGAGGAGCGGCTTAAGAGCTGGGCATGTTTAGCCTGAAGAAGAGAAGGCTGAGAGGAGATATGATAGCCATGTATAAATATGAGAGGAAGTCATAGGCAGGAGGGAGCAAGCTTGTTTTCTGCTGCTCTGGAGACTAGGACGCGGAACAATGGCTTCAAACTACAAGAAAGGAGATTCCATCTGAACATTAGGAAGAACTTCCTGACTGTGAGAGCTGTTCAGCAGTGGAACTCTCTGCCCCGGAGTGTGGTGGAGGCTCCTTCTTTGGAGGCTTTTAAACAGAGTCTGGATGGCCATCTGTCAGGGGTGATTTGAATGCAATATTCCTGCTTCTTGGCAGGGGATTGGGCTGGATGGCCCATTAGGTCTCTTCCAACTCTTTGATTCTATGATTCTATGATCTTTCGGCTGCCTAGCCGAAAACAGATTTTTCCATTAGTTGATTTTTGGGAGGCTCCTGAAAAAGGATCTGGCTACCCAATGAAATTCGAATACTTAAAAACAGATCGTCCTCCAGCCATATTGCACAATCCTATAGAAAACCCAATTTGTTTCTGTTTTCTGGGGTTTTCATGCCAGCGCCACCTAGTGTTTGGGCCTGGCCTCACAGCCAAAAGAACAGATGGATCTGAAAGGATTCCCATAGAATGCATCTACACTACAGAACTAATGCACTTATTTATTTTATTTTATTTATTTAGCAGTTTTGAATACCGGTCTTCTCACCTCCATTGAGGGACTCAGGCCGGTTTCCAACATCAATATTACAGACAGTCATTAAAAACATCATATTCTAAATCACACTAAAACATTAAAGTAGCAAAATACAGTCATATAATTACAATGATCAGTCGTCATCCGAAATCATCATTCGTCATCATCCACCCATATCACAGGATCATGGCTCATTCGTCGAATGCCAATTTCCAGAGCCACGTTTTCACCTGTTTTCTGAACGTCAAAATAGAAGGGGCAGTTCTGATCTCCCGTGGAAGGGAGTTCCAGAGTCGAGGGCCCACCACCGAGAAGGCCCTGTCTCTCGTCCCCACCAGACGCGCTTGTGAGGCCGGTGGGACCGAGAGCAGGGCCCCTCCAAACGATCTTAGCAATCTTGATGGTTCATAGGGAAGGATATGTTCAAACACTTCAACTGCTGTGGTTAAGTGTTATGGAACCCTTTGGCCTATAGTTTGGCCAGGCACTAGCACTTTTGGGAAGAAAGGTCTTATATCAGTGGTTCTCAACCTTTTTAATGCCCCGACCCCTTAATACAGTTCCTCAGGTTGTGGTGACCCCCAATCATAAAATTATATTTGTTGCTACTTTCTAACTGCAATTTAGCTCCTGGTATGAAGCACAATGTAAATATCTGCTATGCAGGATGTATTTTCATTGAAATAATAATAATAATAATAATAATAATAATAATAATAATAATAGAATCTTAGGGTAGGAAGACACCTCCAGGGCAGGGCTATCCAGTCCAACCTCCTTCTGCCATAAGGGAAAAGAGCAATCAAAGCTCTCCTGACAGATGGCCATTCAGCCTCTGCTCAATAATAATAATAATAATAATAATAATAATAATAATAATTTTATTATTATTATTATTATTTACAGCTTTTATATTCCGCCCTTCTTACCCTGCAGGGGACTCAGGGCGGATTGCAGTGTACACATATATGGCAAACATTCAATGCCAATTTTTGACATACAAACATATACAGACATACACAGAGGCTATTTAACTTTTTCTGGCCGCCAGGGGAGCTGTCGCTTTCATCGTCCATCTGCGACGCTGATGAAGTACTTCTGCATTCCCTGCATGCTTCCCCGCTGGAATGCTTTGCTGGAGTCTTCTTTATGGCCTCATAAATCAGTTAATTTGGCATCCCCACACTTTAAGGTGGTACCTAATTTTCCTACTTGACAGATGCAACTGTCTTTCGGGTTGCAAATTAATAATAATAATAATAATAATAATAATAATAATAATAGAAGACTTTCACCTACATCCAGAGAACACTGTGAATCCAAACAATGATGAATCTGGACCAAAGGAAGTGGCCTCACGACCCCTCAGAAATGGCCAATTGACCCCTCTGGGGGTCGTGACCCCCAGGTTGAGAACCACTGTCTTATATGATTCCTTGATGTAACTTTTGCAGATTTGATTACTATATTCTATTTAGGGATCTCTGGGTGTTCAGTTTTCCGCACAAGTGAGCAATACAGTCAAGGGATTCCGAGAGAGAACCTCTTCTCCAGGGACCTTGAGGTTCTCCAGAACTGTTTTGTGGTCAACTGCCTTTCAACTGGGTGTCCTTTCTTTCCTTTTCCTTTCTTCCCTTCCTTCCTTCCTTCCTTCCTTCCTTCCTTCCTTCCCTTCCTCTTTCTTTCTTTCTTTCTTTCTTTCTTTCTTTCTTTCTACAGATCTCAACAGCAATGGATTTATCTGCAACTATGAGCTGCATGAACTGTTCAAGGAAGCCAATCTTCCACTCCCCGGATACAAAGTGAGGGAGATCATCCAAAAGCTCATGATCGACGGGGACAAGAACAAAGATGGGAAGATCAACTTCGAAGAGTTTGTCTACGTAAGTGTGCTGCGGACCCCAAATCATGCCTCTTCCTAGAAATTCTTGTTCTTATAAGCCATTCTGGGAGTCTCTCGAAAGCCGTGTTGGAACCACACTTGAAGTGACTCTAGACTCATTCAAAACTTGGCCACTTTTCTGCATTTTCTTTTTTTAAATTCTTAAGATAGAATCACCCTATGTATCATTTGGGATGTATCTCCATTGCATAGTTCTACCAGCTTTGTTCCACTGTCTTGTCTCCAATTTTACAGATGCTGGGATTTGTAGTTTGGGGAAGATGTGGAATTCATAGTGAGAGAGTAGTAGTTTGAGACTCATCACATTGTAGCTGTGTCTTTGAGTTATCAATACATATTTTGGATGGAGGGCTAAATCACATTCTGCTGTTATAATGCTATTGTTTCACTTGTAGTTGCCATGGCAGCATTTATTTATTTATTTATTTATTATTTACAATATTTATAGCCCACTTTTCTCAACCATATGGCGACTCAAGGCAAGTTACAGGTTGAGACAATTCGATTCCATGCAATCATAAAGTGCAATTAAAACAATCAACTTAACAGTATAAAATAAAACACTAGCCGCCCCCTGCCACACGTTGCTGTGGCCCACTCTGGTGGTCATGGGGGTTCTGTGTGGGAGGCTTGGCCCAATTCTATCGTTGGTGGGATTCAGAATGCTCTGTGATTCTAAGTGAACTATAAATCCCAGCAACTGCAACTCCCAAATGTCAAGATTATATTTCCCCCAAACTCCACCAGTGTTCACATTTGGGCATATTGAGTATTCGTGTAGAGTTGGGTCCAGATCCATCATTGTTTGTTTCCACAGTGTTCTCTGGATGTAAGTGAACTACAACTCCCAAACTCAACATCAATGCCCACCAAACCCTTCTAGTGTTTTCTGTTGGTCATGGGAGTCCTAGGTTCAATTCCATCATTGGTTGAGTTCAGAATGCTCTTTGATTGTAGGTGAACTATAAATCCCAGCAACTACAACTCCTAAATGACAAAATCATTTTTTTGAGTGAAGGACATAGATTGAGTTGTGTCCAAATTTGGTATTGTCTTGTGTCCAAATTTGGTATTGTTTCGTCCAGTGATTTTTGAGTTCTGTTAATCCCACAAATGAACATTACATTTTTATTTATATAGATATGTAAAAACCATTATAACATGGACTATGATTCTTAGATTAAGTTTAGAACATTGGGAATGCTCAAATAGAGAATTCCATATAATGTTGCCATAGCAACTAAAGTGGAATAATAGTGTTTTAACAGTATGGTGCGATAGGGATCTCGCTCATAAGAATGTCCAACCTTGAGATATAATACTGACGGTTATGCAACATTCCCAACTTGTGCTCAATGCTTCCAGATCTTTCAAGAGGTGAAAAGCAGCGACATCGCCAAAACCTTCAGGAAAGCCATTAACCGAAAAGAAGGCATTTGTGCCATTGGCGGGACGTCCGAACTCTCCAGTGAGGGAACCCAACACTCCTATTCAGGTATTCCTGGTCTGCTTTGGGAATTAAATTGAAAGAGAAGCTGGACAATACTCCTATGAGGTGGTTTTGTCATGAGATAAGCAACCAAACCCCAAGGGTGATTCTCCCCAATGGTTCCTCCTCTCCATCCTGGAAAGGAGGGACTCCTTGGGTGCCATAAAGAGGCCTTTCAGGGCTGTTCAGGATCTTCATTAATGGTATGGAGGCAGCTCTAGAGAGGATGCAGATTGTGCTGGTACGGCTGTACCAGGAGCTCCAACTTTATTTTCTTTCTGTTATCTGTTTGCAGTCATAGGGCAGGCCTCCTGTGCATCATAATTAAGCTTTGCTTCCACCCCTTGTTCAGGGCTCTGGGAGGGAAAGGAGCCATTTTTTGGGCAGTCTCCCATAAGGAAGCTAAACTATAGGACGTAGACCAGCTTGTCCCGTAGAAAAGCTTCTTTTCTCAAGAGCATCCGTGGAAACAGAAACAGAAATTCCAGGGAAAAGGTCCCAAGGCTCTGGCTGAGAGCTCACAGCCTCTCAGCCTCACAGCAATCAGAGGGAAAACAGCCCTGAAGTTTTCAAAGAATTCTCTGAGGGAGGACAGCATTACAGATCCACTGAACTCCAGCTGAAATATCTTCAAGCCTCGGCTGGTAGGTCTACTCGATACCCAGACGCATTTGGAATCGGTAGTAGGACCCACACCGATGAGGCATAGATAGTAAACAGCCTGGGAGGGGTTAAAAAGGGTTTTTCCTACAGAGGAAGTTCAGTTAATCAAAGTCAGGTACCAGCCCATTGAGGACTAGACTAAGAAAGCCTTGAAATGTTGTTTGAACCATTGAAGATTTGTTGTTTGTTCCATAATAAAGACTTTGTTGCATCATCAAAGACTCTAAAGACCATCACTTCAGAAAAATCCCTGAGAATCTCTCTTTGAGGCACCCTGGCTTCCCGCTGGGCTTAAAGTATACGTCCTATAGAAAAGCAGCTGTTACAGGCCCAGCGCCGAGCGAACAGAACAATATCATTATTTCCCTATGGAAACCAAACCAGTCTTTTTATTTTATCCCTAATTTTGCATCTAAATACTTACAAACTTTTTGTGTATTTATTTATGCATCCATATTTTATATCCCAAAGTCTGTTCATGATCATAAAAAGCATAATTACAACAACAACAACAACAACAACAACAACAGACAGCCACCATAAAGCAATTACAACAATAAGTGTCAAAAAAATGTTAACAATGCCACCACCTCCCCAAAGGGGACTCAAGTCAGCTTACATGTGGCCAAGCCCAAAATAATACAACATAATAAACACACAATAACAAAATACATCATAACTGTTCGTCTCCCAGGAGCCTGATTTGCCTCACTTTAAAGTTGCTTGAGGTTGCTTCCTCTTGCATTTTCTCCCAGGGCTGCTGCATCTTTGCAAGAGTCCTAAAAGTTAATAGTATCAGAGTCTGCAGGCCTCTTTGCAACCATTGGCTTAGAGAGCAGCTCTTTGAGTTTAGGGACCGCCTTTTCTCCCAGGGAAAGATCCCCATTTTAGATTCTCCCCTGCCTTTTCAGTTTGAGGAAAGATTTCAGACGTGCTGATGGCTAAGCAGTTAGCTCTGGGAGAACCATTGCAAAAACTATACTCTTTAGATAAGTAGTAAGCTAATCTGAGTAAGCTATATTGAGATAATATAGATAGTACATTGTGGTTTGAGCTGTTTTTGAGATATTTTAGACAGATAAGCTTAGTTGAGAAGACTGGAGCCCCCGGTGGCGCAGAGGGTTAAACCCTTGTGCCGGCAGGACTGAAGACCGACAGGTCGCAGGTTCGAATCCGGGGAGAGGTGGATGAGCTCCCTCTATCAGCTCCAGCTCCTCATGCGGGGACATGAGAGAAGCCTCCCACAAGGATGATAAAAACATCAAATCATCTGGGCGTCCCCTGGGCAACGCCCTTGCAGACAGCCAATTCTCTCACACCAGAAGCGACTTGCAGTTTCTCAAGTCGCTCCTGACACGACAAAAAAAGTTAAGAAGATTGAGTTATATAGTTATAGAGAGAGAGTCGTGACTGCTTTGTCGCCAGGACTGACCTTAAGTTATAGATAGGGAAAAAAACCTGCTTTTTTCTAAACCACAACAGCTTTAGGTTAGGGTGTTAAGATTCCAGAATCTTTTCTGCCATCTGGAGAAAGGGTTGCCTCTGTAACTATAGGAAGGAAAGAATATTTTTGTAGCTTCATCTATTGACTGTTTGTTTTCAATATGATCTGTGATGAACTGTGCCAAGTCTTCAAGGACTTTGAATAAATAAATATTCTTTTTTGATGTTTAAAACCAGTACTAGTCTCAGTTGCTTAGTATCTTAAGTTTTCAAGATAGACAACTGCAGTTCGCTCAGCTATAGAGAGAAGCACGTCGCAGTCTTATTTTTTATAGCGTCTGGGCAGACGGCACAGTTCCCCATTCTGTCTCTTTGCATTTCATTTAAAACAACATAATAAAATCAGGCACAGAGGGCAGGCCAAATGTATGAGGTAAAATGTTAAAAAGTTAAAACCCTGGGTGAGATAGGGATGAAAGTGCATTTGTAGGAGAGGAGCCCACAGGGAGGAACCATGGGATTTAGCCATTTTAGGGGTGGGAAGATGCTTCATTCTGAGGGTAGCTGTAGGCTAAGACAACCAGATGGGTTGAGTGGTCATTCTCCAAAAGCACCACGGAAGAGCCAGGTTTTTAGGAAAGCATCAGGAGTTGCCACTTTTGGAGATCAATAGAATAGCCTCTGGAAGGCCTCTTCAAGTCTTGGAAGTGTGGAACCTCACTGAAAGTTCAGATCTTAGGGGAACCCCACAGGCTTTCATATCTTGGCGAAATGGAAAGCCTTCTCTGCTGCCGAGCATCCCATCCTTTCCTCTATCTTTTCCTGGCATGACTCTTTGAACGGTGAACATAACCATCTTCCCTCCTCTTTTAGAGGAAGAAAAATATGCCTTTGTGAACTGGATCAACAAAGCCCTGGAAAACGACCCAGATTGTAGACATGTCATTCCGATGAACCCAAATACGGATGATCTCTTCAAAGCCGTCGGCGATGGGATTGTTCTCTGGTGAGTCCTGAAGGAGTGCTTTGTGGTTGTGGAGACCTTCATGCCAGAATGTAGTTGTAGCTGGACCTGCATTGCAATGAGGTTTGAAAAGTCCTTGCTGTAGGGCATTTGAGGTGAAAGTGGTTGGTGCTAGAAAAAGTTTGCAAAATTTCATTTTGACCCAAGAAAGGTCCAGTGCCCAAAAAGGCCGTCCTGCATGCTCCCATATCTCTTAAAGCGCTGGGATTTTGCCATAAGATTGCATCAGAGAACCAACAAAACTGTAGACATTTGTTGGTTCCCCAGCACAATTCTATGGTCAACATCCATTTAGAGAAACAACAAATACCTACAGAAATGTTCTCTCTAAGAATATGTAGGTTCTCAGATACAATTCTATGGTGAACATCCATCTGGAGAACCTACAAATACCTGCAAAAGTGTTCCTCCTAGCCATTTGTAGCTCCTCCACTGTGATCCTATGGTCAACTTCAATCTGGAGGACCTAGAAATGCCCACAAAACTGTTATTTCTAGGTATTGTAGGTCCTCAGGTACAATTTTATGGTTACCTTCCATCTGGGGAAGTTACAAATGGCTAAAGACATATTCTCTTTAGGTATTTGCACATCCTCCAGTGTGGTCCTATGGTCAACGTCCATCTGAAGAATCAACAAATGCCCACAGAAGTGTTATCTCTAAGCATTTGTAGATTCCCGGGTACAATTCTATGGTCAACTATCATCTGAAGGACCTGCAAATACCTCCAAAAGTGTTCCTTCTAGCCATTTGTAACTCTCCCAGTGTGATCCTATGGTCAACTTCAATCTGGAGGACCCAGAAATGCCTACAGAACTGTTATTTCTAGGAATTTGTAGGTCCTCGGGTACAAATTTTATGGTTAACTTCCATCTGGAGAAACTACAAATGGCTAAAGATATATTCTCTTTAGGCATTTGTACATCCTCCAGTGTGGTCCTATGGTCAATGTCCATCTGAAGAATTAACAAATATCCACTCTAAGCATTTGTAGATTCCCAGGTACAATTCTATGGTCAACTATCATCTGCAGGACCTGCAAATACCTCCAAAAGCATTCCTTCTAAACATTTGTAATTCCCCCAGTGTGATCCTATGATCAACTTCAATCTGGAGCACCTAGAAATGCCTACAGAACTGTTATTTCTAAGTATTTGTAGGTCCTCGGGTACAATTTTATGGTTAACTTCCATCTGGAGAAACTACAAATGGCTGAAGATATATTCTCTTTAGGTATTTGTACATCCTCCAGTGTGGTCCTATGGTCAACGTCCATCTGAAGAATCAACAAATACCTACAGAAGTGTTATCTCTAAGCATTTGTAGATTCCCTGGTACAATTCTGTGGTCAACTATCATATGAAGGACTTGCAAATACTTCCAAAAGTGTTCCTTCTAGCAATTTGTAACTCCCCCAGTGTGATCATATGTTCAACTTCAATCTGGAGGACCTAGAAATGCCTACAGAACAGTTATTTCTAGATATTTGTAGGTGCTCGGGTACTATTTTAGGTTAATTTCCATCTGGGAGACCCATGAATGGCTAAATAAGTGTTCTTTCTAGACATTTGTAAATCTTCCATTATGATCCTATGGTCAATATCTGATAACCCACACATGCCTATACAACTGTTCTCTGTAGACATTTGTTGGTCCTCCAACACAATTCTTTGGTCAACATCCATCTGGAGAACCAACAAATAGCTACAGAAATGTTCTTTCCTAAGCATTTGCAGATTCTCAGGTCCAATTTTATGATTAAGCTCTATCTGGGGGACCCACAAATACCTACAGAAGGCATTTGTAGGTCCTCCAGTGTGATCCCATTGCCAACATCCATCTCAAGAGCCTACAAATGCCCATACATGTGAGAAAGGGGTTCTCTAAAAATGTTAGAGAGTAATTCTGCTGTAATGATTCAACGAGTCATTTGGTAAATTGGTTTAGCAAATCGTTTGCGAAAGTGATTTAGTGCATCATTTGCTAAAACGATTTAACAACTCATTTGTTAAAATGATTTATCAAGCCATTTGTTACAATGATTTACCAAATAATTTCCCAAAATGAGCAAGGCAGGAAAAAAAAACCCGAAACCAAGAAAATTCATCAAATCCCTCCAGTACGTTAAGTTGGCCATGAGGATTCTGTGTGCCAAATTAGGCCCAGGTCTATCATCAGTGGAGTCCAGAGAGGTCTTTGATTGCAGGCAAACTATAAATCCTAGTACCTACAACTAATAAATGTCAAGGCCAATTCCACCCAAAACCCACCAGTATTCAAATTTTGGCATATTGGGTATGCATGCCAAATTTGGTGCAGATCCATTGTTGTTTGCATTGACAGAGCTCTCTGGATGTAGGTGAACTATAATTCCTAGAAATAACAATGAATTTTCCCCAAAGCCCTTCTGCATTTTTTGTTGGTCACGAGGGTTCTGTGTGCTAAGTGAGGTCCAGAGCCAATGTTGGTGGGGTCCAGAGTGCTCTTTGATTGCAGGTGAACTATACATCCCAGTACCTTAAACTAACAAATGTCAAGGCCAATTCCACCCCAAACCCACCAGTATTAAAATTTTGGTATATTGGGTATGCATGCCAAATTTGGTGCAGATCCATTGTTGTTTGCATTGACAGAGCTCTCTGGATGTAGGTGAACTATAATTCCTATAAATACAATGAATTTTATCCCCAAAGCCCTCCTGCATTTTTTGTTGGTCATGAGGGTTCTGTGTGCTAAGTTAGGTCCAGGGCCATTGTTGGTGGGGTCCAGAGTGCTCTTTGATTGCAGGCGAACTATAAATCCCAGTGCCTACAATGGCTATGAATCAAGGTAGATTCCCCCCAAACCTCTCCAGTATTTTTCTTTAGTCATGGGGGTCGTGAGTGGAAAATGTGGTCCAGGTCCGTTGTCAGTGGGGGTCACGGGGATCTGATTTAATGCAGGGTGAACTACAACTTCCATCATGTGGAGTCAGCTCCCAAAATTCCTTTAGTATGCTCAGTTCTGCTCTTTTTGTTATGCAGACAGAGTTGAAAAGAGTAGGAAAGGGTTAAGTGAGAGGCAGTGGGCGGGATCATGCAAATACCACGACCAATGGAGAGTGTCAGAAGCACTGAGATGTCTGTGGTGGAGGAAACATGTAAAATCTACGATGAAATTGTTTCCGAATGAAAGCATTCCTTGGGTGGTGGGCAGTATGGTGTTTGGGGAGGACATTGGCAGGGGTTGGCTACATGTCAATAGTGTTTGTCGCTATAACCCGAAATGTCATTGGAGGGAGGGTCTTTGGTGGCTCCTCAGCACTGTGGGTTTGTGTTTGTGGATGCGGGAGCCTGTCTATGGAAGTGGGCACCAGCCACACGCACATATACATATTTTCACTTTTGTTATGGATATAGATGATTAATTATTGATTTTTTGAACTCGAAAGCATTGCTTTCCACTTGATTTTGCATCTCTTTGTTGCATATCTGTGTTTTTCATTTTTCATGTATTTTAATGTTCATTTTCCTCTCCTCTCTACCACCCAGTAAAATGGTCAACCTTTCTGTCCCCGACACAATTGACGAGAGAGTGATCAACAAGAAGAAGCTCACACCGTTCATCATTCAGGTGAGGACTCTCTCTTTCATTCTTCTCCTGAAATAATGCTTCATCTGTTTGCTGATCTCAGAAAAAACAGAGTTCTGTTTGCCTTGAACCAGTCCAGGGGCCTTTGTGCAGCCTCTTTGTTTTACATGGAAACGGGAGCCTTCCCTTCCTTGCAATCGGATGCTCTTTCTGCAAATATTTAATTGAAGTAGAAGAAAAGGGCCTCTGGGTGACTCAGGCTGCATTGGGAATAGATTAGAAATGGAAAAGAGTTCTGGACACAGCAATTTGCATACCAACTCCCTGCATCTCTTCCCTTCCCTTCTTCATTCTTCCTTTCTCCCATCCCTTCATTCCTTTCCTTCCTTTCCTTCTTTTCTATCTTCGTCTCCCTCTTTTCCTCCCTCGTTTTCCTTTTCTCCCTTCCTTCTTCCTTCTTTTCTCCTCCCTACCTTCCTTCTCCTTCCTCCTTCCTCTCTTTTCCTTCCTTTCACCTCCTCCATCTTCATTGTTCATCTTTTTCTCCTCCTCCATCTCTTTTACCTTTTTCTTCCCAGTTTCCTCCCTTTCCTCCTCTTCTTCCTCTTCCTCTTCTTATTCCTCTTCATCTTCTCCTCCATCTTCCTCATTCATCTTTTTCTCCTCCTCCTCCATCTCTTTTACCTTTTTCTTCCTAGTTTCCTCCCTTTCCTCCTCTTCTTCCTCTTCGTCTTCTTCCTCTTCACCTTCTCCTTCATCTTCCTCATTCATCTTTTTCTCCTCCTCCATCTCTTTTACCTTTTTCTTCCCTTTTCCTCCCTTCCTCTCTTTTCCTTCTTTTCTTTCCTTCTTTCCCTTTTTCTTTTCTCCCTTTTCCTTCCTTTCTTCCCTTTTCCTCCCTTCCTCTCTTTTCCTTCGTTTTCTTCCTTCTTCCCCTTTTTCTTTCCTCCCCTTTCCTTCCTTCCTTTTTCCTCCTTCTTTCCCCCCTCTTCTTTCTTCGCTTTTCCTCCCTCCCTCCTTTTCCTTTTCCTCCCTCCCTCCCTTTTCCTCCCTTCCTTTTCCTTCCTTCGTTCCCTTTTTCTTTCCTCTTCTTTCCTCCCTTTTTCTTCATTCCCTTCCCCCTTCCCTTCTGTCTCACATTTCTTTCCTCCCATTTACTTCCTTCCCTCCATTTCCCTCCCTCCCCCCTTCCTTCTCAGTGGTGGCTCCCCAGGTCTGGAATACCTTCCCTAAAGAAATTAGGTTAGCCCCCTCTCTTCAAGCCTTCCAGGTGAGTCTAAAACCATAGCTCTTCAGACAGGTCTTTGATCCTGAGCAATCCATGGCCAATGTGATCATTGATAGTACTGACCCACACTTTGATTGATTGTTGATAGATAGCTGACGTGCAGGTTCCAGGAATTTTGTAATTTTCACATTTTTATAATTTATCGATGAGATTTTTATGTGCTGTTGATTATACTTATGTCTTTGTATTTATACTTATGTATTGTTGTCTGCATGCGGCACTTTGAGCGCTTCTGTGAGATGCCCCGAGTCCCTTTGGGGAGATAGTGGCAGAGTACAAACAAAGATTATTATTACTATTATTATTATTATTATTATTATTATTATGTTACTTATGCTTCTTCCACAATAATATTTTATTTTATTTATTTCATCTACTTATACCCCGCCCTTCTCACCCCGGGGGGGACTCAGGGCGGCTTACAAAGGAGGCACAATTAGATGCCCAAATCACACAACAAACAATACAAAATATAACAATTCAACAATTAAAATGAAACATCAATACCTATTAAAATCATAAAAACTATCTCATGTCAGAGTCCATATATCAGAGTCCATATATCCATTCCATTCCATTGTCCTTGTCTATCGATAGGTCCTTTGATCAGTTGTCAGCATGGCCAAAAGCTTGGTCCCACATCCAGGTCTTCAGTTTTTTCCTAAACGCTAGAAGGGAAGTCGTCGATCTGATCTCCCCGGGGAGTGAGTTCCACAGGTGGGGGGCCACCACTGAGAAGGCCCTGCTCCTCGTCCCCGCCAGTTTCACTTGTGCTACTGGCGGGGTCGAGAGCAGGGCCTCCCCAGAAGATCTTAAACTTCGAGGTGGGATGTAGAGGGAGATCCGTTCGGACAAATACACTGGGCCGGAACCGTATAGGGTTTTGTAGGTTAATAACCAGCACTTTGAATTGTGCTCGGAATTGGATCGGCAGCCAGTGGAGCTGACGCAACAGGGGGGTGGTATGCTCCCTGTACGCCGCTCCGGTGAGCAATCTGGCTGCTTCCCGCTGGACTAGTTGAAGTTTCTGAGCAGTCTTCAAAGGCAACCCCACGTAGAGTGCGTTGCAGTAATCCAATCGGGATGTGACAAGAGCGTGGACCACCGTGGCCAGATCTGACTTCCCAAGGTACGGGCGCAGCTGGCGCACAAGTTTTAATTGTGCGAAAGCTCTCCCGGCCACCGCTGAGACCTGGGGTTCCAGGCTCAGCGATGAGTCCAGGATCACTCCCAAGCTGCGAACCTGTGTCTTCAGGGGGAGTGTAACCCCGTCTAACACAGGCTGTAACCCTATACCCTGTTCGGCCTTCCGACTGACCAGTAGGACCTCTGTCTTGTCTGGATTCAATTTCAATTTGTTAGCTCTCATCCAGTCCGATACAGCGGCTAAACACCGGTTCAAGGTCTGGACAGCCTCCTTGGTGACAGGTGAGAAGGAGTGACAGATTTGGACGTCATCTGCATAGAGATAGCATCTTAGTCCGAAACTCCGAATGATCTCTCCCAGCGGCTTCATGTAGATGTTAAATAACATCGGGGACAAGATAGAACCCTGTGGGACTCCACACAACAATGGTTGTGGGGCCGAACAGGTGTCACCCAGTAACACCTTCTGGGTCTGTCCCTCAAGGAAGGATCGAAGCCACCGCAGAGCAGTGCCTCCGAGCCCCATATCCATGAGGCGGCCCAGAAGGATACCGTGATCGACGGTATCGAAGGCCGCTGAGAGGTCCAGCAGAACTAACAGGGACACACTCCCCCTGTCTAGCTCCCTGCGTAGATCATCTACCAAGGCGACCAAGGCTGTCTCAGTTCCATGTCCCGGCCTAAAGCCAGACTGTGCCGGGTCTAGATAATCAGTGTCTACCAGAAACCCCTGGAGTTGTGTTGCCACCACACGTTCCATGACCTTGCCCAAATAGGGGAGATTGGAAACAGGCCGATAGTTGTCGAATTGAGTGGGATCCAGTGATGGTTTCTTCAACAGCGGTTTTATAATAGCTTGTTTTAAGCTCGCTGGAAATTTTCCTTCCTGTAAGGAGGCATTAACCATCACCTTCACCCACTCTGCCAAACCCCCTCTGGCTTCCTTGATCAGCCAGGAAGGGCAGGGGTCTAGGATGCATGTGGTGGGTCGCACCTCTCCAAGGATCCTGTCCACATCCTCAAGCTGAACCAATTGAAACGAATCCAACAAAACTGGACAAGCAGATGCTCTCGTTACATCCCCAGAGACTGCCGTTAACATGACGCCAAAACCCGACCGGATCCGCTCAATTTTATCCGCGAAGGATCGAGCAAATGCTTCACAGCGAGCCACCGAGTTGTCCGAGTTGTTCCTTCCCTTTTCCTCCCTGTAAATAATAATAATAATAATAATAATAATAATAAATATTTATATATATCCCACTTTTTCACCCTGAATGGGACCCAAAGCGGCTCACATTTTAAAAACAGTGCAGACAACAAACACATATAACAATCTAACCATGTATAAAATTGGCATAATAAACATTCCAGTATGGTTTAACAATTTTTGCTAGTGTTAGCCTTCCTGTCATTTCAGATCAGATTGCTTCATTAAATAGATGGCCATCTGTCAGGGGTGCTCTGAATGCAATATTCCTGCTTCTTGGCAGGGGTTTGAACTGGATGGCCCCTGAGGTCTCTTCCAACTCTATGATTCTATGATTCTAGGAAGGTCTTTGGTTGTCTTTTTAAAGATGTCAGGGAAGAGGCTGTTTTAATCTCCTTGGGGAGGGACTTCTGGAGGGATGGAGTGGCCACCGAAAAGGCCCTCTCTCTCGTCACCACCTACATTTGTGCATTTGCGACAATCTCCCTCCCTCCCTTCTCCTTCCTTCCTTCCTTCCTTCCTTCCTTCCTTCCTTCCTTCCTTCCTTCCTTCCTTCCTTCCTTCCTTCCTATTCCCACCTATTGCTAGATATAGCAGTTTCATGGTTTGAACATTGACCTAATTCCCATTCAGCCACGTAAGTCCTTTGGGTGACTGTGGACAAGTCACTCACTCTCAGCCTTAAGGGGAGCCAGCCGAGCCCTTTGCATTTGGGCATCAGATTAAAACTCTGTCGTCCCAGGCTTGAGATGCTTGTTCAGCCACACATATTTGCTCAGTGGATTTGGGAAAGTCGAACTGCCTTCTGCCAAAGAGGAAGAGCGTTGAAAACCCAGATTGGTGGATAGGATTCCCATTGAGTTGCCTTGAAGAGCAAAGTGGGGCAATGGTGGATGCAGTCATCACAAAACTAGGGAATCTGAGCTGCTGGCTTCAGATGCTCCGAAGGCATATAGAGAGGGATCTGTGCAACTTTGTCCCTTTTCCCCGGCAGGAAAACCTGAACTTGGCCCTGAACTCGGCCTCGGCCATTGGGTGCCATGTGGTCAATATCGGGGCTGAGGATCTGCGGGAAGGGAAGCCGCACTTGGTTCTGGGGCTCCTCTGGCAGATCATCAAGATCGGCTTGTTTGCTGACATCGAAATCAGCCGAAATGAAGGTAAGGATGACCCCTTGGAATTTAGATAGGTGTCTGTCATCAAACCAGAAGGAGAGGCGGAATAATAATAATAATAATAATAATAATAATAATAATAATAATAATAATAGAAGGATTTTTTAAAAGTAGCTCCCATTTATATCTCTTTCCCACTGCAGTGTTGTGGCTTTCACTTGTGATTTTACAGAAAGGGAGCATTGTGTGTGCCTCCTTTGTCTGAATGGGATGAATGGCTGGATTTAGGCCTCTCTTAATTAAAAGTGTTGCCCAACACCACCGAATCGGGGGTCATTTGGGAGGACGGGCCTGTTTTTTAGGTCTTCATGTGTGCCGCCTCCTCCTCCTTTGTTCCCTTCCCAGCTTTGGCCGCTCTGCTTCGAGATGGAGAGACCTTGGAGGACCTCATGAAGCTGTCTCCCGAAGAGCTGCTCCTGCGTTGGGCCAATTTCCACTTGGAAAACGCCGGGTGGCACAAGATCAACAACTTCAGCTCCGAGATCAAGGTATCTCTCGGTGGAGACGGGATCTGGCATCTGGGTGGGATTTTGTTGAGCAATTTGAGGTTGGAATGTGCCACGGGAGTCTATAGAACGATCCGTGGGTAGGTCTCTTTTGCTTCCTTTTGGAGCCAGAACTGACTGCATCTAACTGCTTTGATTTTCTTCTTCTCATGCTTTCCGGATTCCTGCTTCCCTTCTCTTCTGTTTCCTCTCCCCTCACTCCTTTCTCTTTGCTTCTTGCCATGTTGGTTTCGCAAGCTTACTGACTTCAATATCTCTGTAAAGGTACAAACGCCTTTGGTTTTTCCATAGTTGAGTTCCTTATGTAGTTTTGTGTCAGTCTTGCAATGGGAAAAGCAATCGGCTGATGGTTTTTTTCTACCGGGTTTCACCCGTCCCAGGACTCCAGGGCCTATTTCCACCTCCTCAACCAAATTGCACCCAAAGGACAAAAAGAAGGAGAGCCGCAGATTGATATCAACATGTCCGGCTTCAATGTGAGTATATCTGGGTGGGGGGTGGGAGTCCTCTTCTATATAAATAAAAATGTAAATGTATGTTTGTGAATGACCTCAAATGTCCCAAAATGTGTCACCGATTGCTTTAAAATTTGGACACAATGTAGCATTCGAACAGGCGAATGTTTTCATGTTTTCACATACTTTCCATTATATAGATGTCACACCTGTGACAGGTAAAAATGCTTTGAATCAAAAAGAGCGCCATCTGCTGGAAGACCAAGCAGAGGGTCAAGTAGGGAGATCCAGGCTGGGGAGAGGGGCGGGGCACAAGCCCAATGGAGGGAGGGAAGGAGGCAGGCAAGGAGGACAACCAGCCTAAGGATAGTAACACATCCGGGCCTCCACTGAGCAATGTCCTTGCAGACGGCAAATTCTCTCACACCAGAAGCGACTTGCAGTTTCTCGAGTCACTCCTGATATGAAAAAAAAGTCTTACACACGCTCGGGTTATTTACAAAATATGGTTCTTTTTTTACATCCCTGAAATAACTAAGTGCATATAACTATGATTGTAATGTATTACTGCTGGTTTATTTTAGCACCAATCTTTCACTGTGTCATACTCTGGTCTAGGGCAATGCAGACTTTTTCGCCACTCATTTGGAAGATTGGCCTGAAACAGATTGCTGCATTGGCATCTTAGAGCAGAGTTTCACAACCTGGGGGTCGGGACCCCTCTGGGGGTCACGAGGGGGTGTCAGAGGGGTCGCCAAAGACCATCAGAAAACATAGTCTTTTAGTCCTTTCCGTTGGTCATGGGGGTTCTGTGTGGGAAGTTTGGTCCAATTCTATCGTTGGTGGGGTTCAGAATGCTATTTAATTGTGGGTGAACTATAAATCTCAACAACTACAACTCTCAAATGTCAAGGTCTATCTTCCCCCATACTCCACCAGTATTCAGGTTTGGGCTTATTGGGTATTTGTGCCAAATTTGGTCCAGTGAATGAAACTACACCCTGCATATCAGATATTTACATTACGATTCATAATGCTATGAATGCTATTTAATTGTGGGGTTCAGAATGCTATTTAATTGTGGGTGAACTATAAATCTCAACAACTACAACTCCCAAATGGCAAGGTCTATTTTCTCCAAACTCTGCCAATGTTCACATTTGGGCATATTGAGTATTTGTGCTGAGTTTGATCTAGATCCATCATTGTTTGAGTCCACGGTGCTCTCTGGATGTAGGTGAACTACAACTCCAAAAACTCAAGGTCAATGTTCACCAGACCCTCCCAGTATTTACTCTTGGTCATGGTAATTCTGTGTGCCAAGTTTGATTCAATTCCCTCACTGGTGGAGATCAGAAGGCTCTTTGATTGTAGGTGAACTATAAATCCCAGCAACTCCAACATTCCCAAATGACAAAATCAATCCCCCCAACCCCACCAGTATTCAAATTTGGGTGTATCGAATATTTGTGCCAAATTTGGTCCAGTGAATGAAAATACATCCTGCATATCGGATATTTAGATTATGATTCATAACAGGAACAAAATGACAGTTATGACATAGCAATGAAAATAACGTTATGGTTAGAGGTCACCACAACATGAGGAACTGTACTAAGGGGTTGCGGCATTAGGAAGGTTGAGAACCACTGTCTTAGAGGGAAATGCCACTACGAGGTGGCGCTCTTTCTGATTCTCTACTTACTCACTTTTCGGGGGAAGCGTCTTATTAGTGTGATGAGAATGCAAGCATGGAAATTCAGCATTGCATTACATGTGTTTGTATACTAATCTCCACCTACATAGGTCCATTTTTAAAAAATTGAATGACCACAAAAGAGTACAGGCAGTCCCCAAGTTACAAACAAGAGGTTCTGTAGGTTCAGTCTTAAGTTGAATTTGTATGTAAGTCAGAACAGAGACATTGTGTAAGTGCAGAAGTCTCAAATAGACTACTGCAACACACTGTACATGGGGTTGCCTTTGAAGACTGTTCAGAAGCTCCAAGTAGTCCAACGGGTGGCAGCCACATTGCTCACCAGCGTGACGAACAAGGAGCATACAACCCCACTGTTTACGCCAGCTCCATTGGCTGCCAGTCTGTTACTGAGAAAATTCAAAGTGTAGGCTTTAGCCTATAATGCCCTAAACAATTCTGGCCCAACTTACCTATCCAAATGTTCCTTGCCTTATTTATTTATCATGTCAGGAGCAAACCAAAACAGTTGTATTGCATTAAAAACAAACAAACAAACAAAATACAAAGTTTGCAGTCTTGGTCTTCTATTAAATGTCCTTTGACCAGTATCTGGCCACTTGGAGTGCCTCTGCTGTTGCTGCAAGAAGGTCCTCCATGGTGCATGTGGCAGGGCTCAGGGTGCATTGCAGCAGGTGGTCAGTGGTTTGCTCTTTTCCACACTCGCATGTCGTGGGTTCCACTTTGTAGCCCCATTTCTGAAGGTTGGCTCTGCATCTCGTGGTGCCAGAGCGTAGTCTGTTCAGCGTCTTCCAAGTCGCCCAGTTTTCTGTGTGCCCGGGGGAGTCTCTCATTTGGTATCAGCCATTGATTGAGGTTCTGGGTTTGAGCCTGCCACTTTTGGACCCTCGCTTGCTGGGGTGTTCCAGCGAGTGTCTCTGTAGATCTTAGAAAACTATTTCTTGATTTAAGTCATTGGCGTGCTGGCTGATACCCAAACAAGGGGTGGGTCGGAGATGTCACTGCCTTGGTCCTTTCACTACTGGTTGCTACTCCCTGGCGGATGTCAGGTGATGCAGTACAGGCTAAACAGTGTAATTTTTCCAGTGGTGTAGGGCGCAGACACCCCGTGATCATGCGGCATGTCTCATTAAGAGCCACAACCTCACCTTATGAACCTGCTAGAGTGTTAAGATCTTCTAGGGAGGCCCTGCTCTCAGTCCCACCTACATCTAGGCGCAATTGGCGGGACAAGAGACACGACCTTCTCAGTGGTAACCCCTCAGCTATGGAAGTGCCTCCCCAGTGAAATCAGACTGGCCCCCTCCCTTCTGGTCTTTAGAAAAAAGTTGAAAGCTTGGTTATGCAATCAGGTTTCTGGATAGTGCAATATGGATCTGGCAAAATTTTATTTTATAAGTGCCATTTCTGCTTCTCCAGGAGAAAGACGACTTGAAGAGAGCTGAGTGCATGCTCCAGCAAGCGGACCGCCTGGGCTGCCGGCAGTTTGTGACCCCAGCAGACGTGGTGAGCGGCAACCCCAAGCTGAACCTGGCCTTCGTGGCCAACCTCTTCAACAAGTACCCGGCCCTCACCAAGCCAGAAAACCAGGACATTGACTGGACGCTACTGGAAGGTGAGGCACAAGGGGAGCGAAACAGGGCAACAAGAGGGGTGGCTGGACCCACTTTTGCCCTTTCCATGGCTGCTCTGGAATTATTGGGCATAAGGGTGGCTTCAGAGTCAGAAACTGGTCAGCGAAGCAAAGGTATAATTACCTCTTCGCACAAAAGGGCCACCCGAATGGAGAGGAGAAGGTATCTGTGCCATCCATACATGTCTCCATTGTGCTCCTTCATTGCAACCTGGAAAAGCACCCCCATTGGTGCAGTGGGTGAAGCCCTTGTGCGAGGAGGACTGCAGACCAAAAGGTCGGCAGTTTAGATCCGGAGAGCAGGGTGAGCTCCCATCTGTCAGCTCCAGCTTCTCATGCTGGTACATGTGAGAAGCCTCCCACAAGATAGTAACACATCTGGGCCCCCACTGAGCAACGTCCTTGCAGACGGCCAATTCTCTCACACCAGAAGTGACTTGCAATATCTCAAGTACACTCCTGATATGAAAAAAAGTCTTACACACCCTTGGTTTGTTTACAAACTGTGGTTCTTTTTTTTACACCCCTGAAATAACTAATTGCGTATAACTATGATTGTAATGTATTACTGCTCCATTGTGCTCCTCCATTGCAACCTCTGGTGGTGTAGTGTCAGCAAGACCACTGACAGAAAGGTTGGCAGTTCAGATCTGGGGAGTGGGGTGAGCACCCATCTGTCAGCTCCAGCTTCTCATGCGAGGACATGAGAGAAGCCTCCCACAAGGACGGTAACGTATCCAGATGTCCCTTTGGCAACGTCCTTGCAGACAGCCCAGTCTCTCAGACCAGAAGCGACTTGCAGTTTCTCAAGTCACTCCTGACGCACACACACAAATTGCAACCTGGGAAAAGAAGCGTAGAGTTGTCATTGAAGTAAGCAATGTGTCTGGTGGAGCAGAGGATCCCAGGACATTGATGTCTCAATCCAAGAAGCCCAAATACTCTGCACCATACCACCATAATGCATTGTTGGATTGGGTCCCTATGCCAGTGGATGGGGCCCCTTCCTTGGACCCCGAAGGGGGTAGACCTACACTGCGGATATCTTTTCTTGAAAGATATAAAGATTATGCTTTTCCCAGTTGGTCATAATCCAATAGGTTATGATCCTAACAGGTCATAATCATCCGTTTGGTTATGTGACCAGTGATTATCAAAAGGCACATTTTGCTCTAGTTTTTCAAGTCCAAACCAATTCAACCTAATTTGTGGCAGCCACAAAAACAAAGTTTCTGGAGTTGAACTACTTTCCAAGTAAAGACCACATAAGCCATGTTAAACAGGAAATAATACTTTCAAATTTTGTTACATAGTGCTAACAATTCTATCGTAACGTTTGGAATCGCTCCGAAACAGAACGCCTTCAAATTTTAGTTGCATCACATCTGCAAAATCTCTCATACATATACATATATATATAGCAGGAAGATGCCACCCCACACTTAAACACAATGGTCAATCTGGCAGTGCCATCATGGTATGACACCTGAATGTTGTTGTCCTGTCCCATTTCTCCTTCATGTACCTTCATGATGAGTTTATCCAAGGGTTTTCTGCCGTGGAGGCTTTCCTTGGCCTTCCTCTGAGGCTAAGAGAATGTGCAAGATACTCCACTTAGGCAGAAAAAAATGAAATACAAAGATACAGAATGGGGGACGCATGGCTCGAGGGCAGTACGTCTGAAAAAGATCTTGGAGTCCTCGTGGACAGCAAGTTAAACATGAGCCAACAATGTGATGCAGTGGCAAAAGAAGCCAATGGATTTTGGCCTGCATCAATAGGAGCATAGTGTCTAGATCTAGGGAAGTCATGCTACCCCTCTATTCTGCTTTGGTTAGACCACACCTGGAATATTGTGTCCAATTCTGGCCACCACAATTGAAGAGAGATATTGACAAGCTGGAATGTGTCCAGAGGAGGGCGACTAAAATGATCAAGGGTCTGGAGAACAAGCCCTATGAGGAGCGGCTTAAGGAGCTGGGCATGTTTAGCCTGAAGAAGAGAAGACTGAGAGGAGACATGATAGCCATGTAGAGATTAGGGATGGGCGGTTTCGTTTCGTTAATTCGTAATTCGTTAATAATTCGTTAATTTTTTCAATTACAAAACGATAACGAACCATTCTGGAGCAATTTTTTTAAAAAAACGAATTTTTAAAAAGTTTTGTAAATGCTTCGTATTTCGTTATTGTATTAGTTTCGTTATTGTTCTGAGGTCGTTTCGTTATTATTTCCGCATGTCTGGGGCAAGTTTTTTGTTTAATTAGTGAAAAAAATTATAATATCACACCAACAGTCAACAACAGAGGGAGAGGGAAGCTTCAGAAGTTTTTGGAGGTTTTTTAGCGTATTTCGCGGTCGCGTCCCGCCATTAACGAATCGATTCGTTATTGTTTCGGAAATCGATTCGTTAATGTTTTGTAATTTTTTTCACATTTACGAAATTTCGTAAATATCGAACTTTTTAAAAGGAAAATTTTGTAATTATTTTAAATAACGAAATGCAAAAAAACCCCAAAAAACGAATCGATTTTAGAAACAAATTTTTCCGTTGTTACCCAGGCCTAGTAATACGTGAGGGGAAGTCATAAGGAGGAGGGAGCAAGCTTGTTTTCTGCTTCCTTGGAGACTAGGACAAGGAACAATGGCTTCAAACTACAAGAAAGGAGATTCCATCTGAACATGAGGAAGTCATTCCTGATTGTGAGAGCCATTCAGCAGTGGAACTCTCTGCCCCGGAGTGTGGTGGAGGCTCCTTCTTTGGAAGCTTTTAAACAGAGGCTGGATGGCCATCTGTCAGGGGTGCTTTGAATGCAATATTCCTGCTTTTTGGCAGGGGGTTGGACTGGATGGCCCATGAGGTCTCTTCCAACTTTATGATTCTATGATTCTCTGACCTGTCCCAACCTGCCCAGTGGGTTTCCACGCCTCCAACCCTGAAACCACAGACTCCTCCTCTCAATCTTTAAACAGTCCTGAGACAGTAATTGGCAGCAAGCCTCCTTGGACATACCTGACCAAGGGGCCTCAATATTAGGAAGGGCCCACATACCTTGCAGACACACAATAATAGTTGTTCTTTAAAGCAACCATTTGTGAGGTTTTGGTTTTGTTCACTTTAGGTGAGACCCGTGAAGAGAGGACGTTCCGCAACTGGATGAACTCTCTCGGAGTGAACCCTCATGTCAACCATCTCTATGGGTAAGTCTTGGGCTCATATGAATTGTCTTGTGAAAGCTGTCCAGCATAAATGAATAACAACCCCTGTATCTTTAGGTCTACTACCCACAGGTTCACTTTGCTATGTCCAAAGAAGTGTGTTCTCTCTAGGCATTTTGGGGTTTTCCAGCACAATTCTGTGGCATGCTGCTATTAGAGCAGTGGTTCTCAACCTGTGGGTCACCAGATGTTTTGGCCTTCAACTCCCAGAAATCGTAACAGCTGGTAAACTGGCTGGGATTCCTGGGAGTTGTGGGCCAAAACAGCTGGGGACCCACAGGTTGAGAACCATTGTATTAGACATTGACCATCTTGTTGCACTCGAGGACTAAGCAACATCTGTTGTAGAACTCCAATGCTGATGACAACTTCATCTTTGCGCATTCAGAAGAAGACCTACAAGCCACTCTAAACACCTTCGCAGAAGCATACGAGAAGCCCGGACTCTCATTGAACATTGAGAAAACCAAAGTATTCTTCCAGCAGTCAGCAGCCAATCCTTCTCCAATGCCAGAAATACAGCTTAATGGTGTAACATTAGAAAATGTTGACCATTTCTGCTACCTTGGCAGCCACCTCTCCACAAAAGTCAGCATTGACACTGAAATACAACACCGCCTGAGCTCTGCGAGTGCAGCATTTTTCCAAATGAAGCAGAGAGTGTTTTAGGACCAGGACATCCGTAGGGAGACCAAGGTGCCTGTTTATAAAGCTATTGTCCTCCCAACCCTGCTATACACCTGCGAAATGTGGACTGTTTACAGACATCACGTGCAACTTCTAGAACAATTCCATCAGTGTTCCTCTGAAAAATCCTGCAAATCTCTTGGGAAGACAAGTGGACAAACGTCAACGTGCTGGAAGAAGCAAAGACCACCAGAATTGAAGTGATGGTCCTCCGCCATCAACTCTGCTGGACTGGCCACGTTGTCTGGATGCCTGACCACCGTCTCTCAAAATAGTTGCTCTATTCTGAACTCAAGAACAGAAAATGGAAGTTGGAGGACAGGAAAAGAGATTTAAAGATGGGTTCCAAGCCAACCTTAAAAACTCTGGCATAGACACTGAGTATTGGGAAGCCCTGGCCCTTGAGTGCTCCAGCTGGAGGTCAGCTGTGACCAGCAGTGTTGTAGAATTTGAAGAGACATGAATGGAGGGCAGAAGGAAGAAATGTACCAAGAGGAAGGTGCATCAAGCCAACCCCGACCGGGACCGCCTTCCACCTGGAAACCAATGCCCTCACTGCAGGAGAAGATGCAGATCAAGAATAGGGCTCCACAGTCACCTACGGACCCACCACCATCTTGGAAGACAATCCTACTCAGACACTGAGGGATTGCCTCGGACAACGAGGGATTACCTAAGTATAGTAAGCAAGCCATACTAGAGGCATTCAGTCTTAATCCTCCAGCATAATCCTTTGGTATGTTTCTACCAAATCTTGACCATGGTGGAGTCATGCTGAAGCAATTTTCTTGCTTATCCAACATTATCCTGCAGTGTACTTCCAGTGAAAGTCATGCATTTAAATAGGATCCATGCTTTCACATTTCTCCCAAGGTTATGGGTTGGCCCTACTGTATTATGGATCTGGAGTTATGTCTTTTTAAAGTGTCAGGGACCCAAACATGGCCATGCTCAAGAGGACTCATGAATGCTCTCTCTCTTTTAGAGACCTGCAGGACGCCATGGTCATCTTGCAACTCTACGAAAAGATCAAAGTCCCTGTTGACTGGAATAAAGTCAACCGGCCACCTTACCCTAAACTGGGGGCAAACATGAAGAAGGTAAGGGCGATGGACATCCCATGTGGTGTGCATGGATGCTTCAATGCATGCATGTTGCTGCCATCTTAGGTACAGGATGGAACAATCCATGGAGTCTTGAAATCTTGAGAAGGGCAGCATATAAATATCGTGAATATATAAACAAACAAACAAACTGCTCTTCAAGAGGCCACCAGACTTTTTCCTCTTATCTGCCTCCACATCTATATAAATAAAAATGTAATGTCCATTTGTGGGATTAACAAAACTCAAAAACCACTGGACGAATTGACACCAAATTTGGACACAAGACACTTAACAACCCAATGTATGTCCTTCACTCAAAAAAACTGATCTGGACCAAGCTCTACACGAATACTCAATATGCCCAAATGTGAACACTGGTGGAGTTTGGGGAAAATAGAACCTTAACATTTGGGAGTTGTAGTTGCTGGGATTTATAGTTCACCTACAATCAAAGAGCATTCTGAACCCCACCAATGATAGAATTGGGCCAAACTTCCCACAGAGAACCCCCATGACCACCAGAATGGGCCACAGCCACGCATGGCAAGGGACGGCTAGTCTGTAATAATAATACTAAGAATACTACTACTACTACTACTACTACTACTACTAATCATAATAATAATATTTTAAATGATAGAACCAATTAGGAAATAATGACATTTATAACCCAGGAACAAAAAAAGTGTAATACAAGGGAATATGGATCTGTAGGCTCCATGACACAAAAGGTCCAGTTTTCCTTCTGTAACCCATAAACAGCATCCAATGGCTTCCTTAGGACATTGGTATGTCATGTTTAACATACCAATGTTTAACATACCAATCAGATTCCAGCATCAAGAGAGCCATTGTAGGCCAGATAACACCCTAAATGAGACCAATGAAACTGTGCCAACGTGAAGGTAGTGCCGTAGTTTTAACCTAACTAGCCCCATGGCCCTTTTCTCTGCCAACAGCTCGAAAACTGCAACTACGCCGTCGAATTGGGGAAGCATCCAGCCAAGTTCTCCCTGGTTGGCATTGGAGGCCAAGATCTCAACGATGGCAACCCAACACTCACCTTGGCTTTGGTGTGGCAGCTGATGAGGAGGTATCTCAATGGCCAGATATGTCCTAATCGGGCCTTTTCAAACATGTTCAGAAGGCATCGAGACTGTCGCTTTCTTTTTCCTTCAACCTGCAAACTGACAAAGACCATCTGAAATTCTGGAAAATACTGATTTGGCTTTTATCAGAAGTCTTGCAGTTGATGTGTTTCCCTATATGTAGAATAGTAGGGATGTGCAAAAATTCATTTTTAATTCGTTTTTGGATCAAATTTGTTAGATTCGTGCATATGAATCGGTATTAGAAACATGCAGGAAAGGTGGGGGGGGGGGGTTAAAAATGGAAATACTCAACAATAATTTTCATTAACGTTCTGTAACATTCGGATGCCTCCCAGGGCCAGTTTATTTTTCAGTGGGGACAAGGGACAGGGCCTTCTCGGTGGTGGCCCCTCGACTCTGGAACTCACTCCCCAAGGACCTCAGGCATGCCCCAACGTTGGCAGTCTTTAGGAGGAGCTTAAAAACATGGTTGCTCCAGTGTGCCTTCCCAGAATAAGGAAACTCCCAGCAATATGTCCCTAAATGCACTTTTTAGTGATCTAGGATGGTCTACATGATCTATCCCTCTCCAAAATTTCTATCCTGTTTATATGTCACCTGGTGACGCCCAGCATTATTTTTTAAAATTTTTAATTAGTACATTTGGCCCTGCTATAGGTTTTTAAACGTCGTCGTGTTATTGTTAATGTTTATTGCTATTTTCTGTTTATGAGTTTATTTATTGTTTGTATTACTGTTGCTATTGTTTTTATTGTTGTATTGTGGGCTCGGCCTCATGTAAGCCGCACCGAGTCCCTTGGGGAGATGGTAGCGGGGTACAAATAAAGTTATTATTATTATTATTATTATTATTATTGTTATTAGCAACCTTGGTAAAGCCAAGAGAACATAAAACATTGTTAAAAACTAGAGCTTTTTCTTTTGCCCGAACATTGCCAAAAGCAAAGGCACTGGGGGTGGGACAACAAAGTTAATGGGTGGGAGACTGAGAACACAGCCTCCTGGGAAATGTAGTTTGGGAAGGCAAGGCCCCCTGTGGCAGAGAATGCAAAAGCCCTGTCCTAAACTATATTTCCCAGAATGCAGTGCTCAGCATCAGAAAGCCCCAGGAGGCAACACCAGTCATTTAGAGTCGATCTAATAATAATAAATAATATTATTATAATGTTATTTATTAATAATAATAATAATAATAATAATAATAATAATGTATTGTCGAAGGCTTTCATGGCTGGAATCACTAGGTTCTTGTGGGTTTTTTCGGGCTATATGGCCATCTTCTAGAGGCATTTTCTCCTGACGTTTCGCCTGCATCTATGGCAAGCATCCTCAGAGGTAGTGAGGTCACTACCTCTCCTCTGAGGATGCTTGCCATAGATGCAGGCGAAACGTCAGGAGAAAATGCCTCTAGAACATGGCCATATAGCCCGAAAAAAACCCACAAGAACCTAATAATAATAATAATAATAATAATAATAATAATAATAATAACAAATAACATTATTGAATCTGCACAGAGGACTAAAGTAAGTAAGTAATCGTATAAATCTGTGCTAAGTTGAAGTTCTGTGGTTGTGTCATAAAGACAAATATTCAAGGGGAGCTGTTGTCACTTTTTGGGGGATAAAGTTTTTGTCTAAAAATCCCCAAAAATTTGTAGATGTGTGAATCTTTCTGAAACTTTTGGGGATTGATGCTCTTCGTTATCTTGAGCATTGTATATATAATTCAAGTAGATAGCTTTTGTAGTTTTTCTAAAAAATGTGTTGTTTATAAAAAAAAATGAAAATTCCCCAAAAATCAATGGATAAGCAAAACATTCTGAAATTTGGTGGGCTAAAAGTGGTCAAGGTGTTCTACCATTGTAGCAAGTCTCATTCCAATAGCTTTAAAAATGAGGGGGAAAGGAGCCCCTGAAGATCTCCCAATTATAGTAATTATTACTGAGAGCAGTACATGTGAAAAAGATCTTGGAGTCCTCGTGGACAACAAGTTAAACATGAGCCAACAATGTGATGTGGCGGCAAAAAAAGCCAATGGGATTTTGGCCTGCATCAATAGGAGCATAGTGTCTAGATCTAGAGAAGTAATGCTCCCCCTCTATTCCGCCTTGGTTAGACCACACCTGGAATATTGTGTCCAATTCTGGGCACCACAATTGAAGAGAGATATTGACAAGCTGGAATGTGTCCAGAGGAGGGCGACTAAAATGATCAAGGGTCTGGAGAACAAGCCCTATGAGGAGCGGCTTAAAGAGCTGGGCATGTTTAGCCTGAAGAAGAGAAGGCTGGGAGGAGATATGATAGCCATGTATAAATATGTGAGAGGAAGTCACAGAGAGGAGGGAGCAAGCTTGTTTTCTGCTTCCCTGGAGACTAGGACATGGAACAATGGCTTCAAACTACAAGAAAGGAGATTCCATCTGAACATTAGGAAGAACTTCCTGACTGTGAGAGCCATTCAGCAGTGGAACTCTCTGCCCCGGAGTGTGGTGGAGGCTCCTCCTTTGGAAGCTTTTAAACAGAGACTGGATGGCCATTAGGCTTGGGTAACCACGGAAAAATTTGGTTCTAAACTCGTTTTGTTTTTAGGGGGCCCTTGCGTTTTGTTTTTTTAAATAATTCCGAATTTTTTTAAAAAATTTTTTCGAAATATACGAAATTTCGTATAATTACGAATCGATTCGTTAATGGCGGACGCGATTGCGCAATATGCTAAAAAAACCTCCAAATGGGACAGGGGGAACTTCTGAAGCTTCCCTCTCCCTCTGTTGTTGACTGTTGGTGTGATAAAACAAACAAAAACTATAAAACTTGCACCAGGCATGCGAAAATAATTACGAAATAATTACGAAATAATTACAAACTAATTACGAAATAAATTGAAAAAATTGTTTCGAATCTAATTTACTCCTCACACTATTCCTGCATGGCTCAATATTGGATCGTAAGCTAATTTAAATACGAATTAATAACGAATTACGAAATTAACGAATGAAACCGCCCAAGCCTAATGGCCATCTGTCAGGGGTGCTTTGAATGCAATATTCCTGCTTCTTGGCATGGGGTTGGACTTGATGGCCCATGAGGTCTCTTCCAACTCTATGATTCTATGATTCGAAATAGTAATAAAATTTCGTTACTCTCATTTAAGTAATGAATTTTTCACTACCTATCATTTAGAAATAATTTAGAAGCAAAATGCCCGCACCCCGATTGGTAATGACTTTTGAGCCATTTTCATTATGGATCGCACATCCCTTGTAAATAGGAAAGACCAAAGCAGAAAAAGGAAGAGTGACCCCATGGTGATATTCTTCTTTCCGTTTCATAGCTTGACTAATACCATCTGCCTTCCTCAGATATACCGTAGACGTCTTGAAAGACCTTGGGGACGGTCAGAAAGTCAATGACGAAATTATTGTGAACTGGGTGAACCAGACCTTGAGAGACGCTGGGAAATCCAGCTCCATCCAGAGCTTTAAGGTAGGTGACTTATTCCATTGACTTTGTCCTTCTCTGCTATTGAACTGGTTTCGGGGTGAGAGGACTGCTGTGTGGAAACACCTTCCTTGGCTGTTATTCTTGCTGAGATGTGTCCCTTTCCTCCCTTTTAAGGACAAAAGTATTAGCAGCAGTTTGGCGGTGGTGGATTTAATTGATGCTATCCAGCCCGGCTGCATAAATTATGACCTGGTGAAGACAGGAGATCTATCAGAAGAAGACAAGCACAGCAACGCCAAGTAAGCTTTGTTCTTGCGTATCTTTCTTGGGACACTAAGAGGCGTACCACAATGAAAAAAAATTACAATTTTCAAGCTCCAATGTATAAATATTTAAAATGTTTATATTTATGTATATATATAAATATATAAATATATCTATATATATATAAAAATGTTCTGTGCATAATGAGTACCTTTAAAAACAAAAGAACCAATGAACGAAATCACACCAAATTTGGCAACAAAACGTCTCACAACACAAGGAGTGACCATCACTCAAAAAATTATGATTTTGTCATTTGGGAGTTGTAGTTGCTGGGATTTATAGTTCACCTACAATCAAAGAGCATTCTGAACTCCACCAACGATGGAATTGAACCAAACTTGGCACACAGAACACCCACGACCAAGGTTTTGGTGGGCATTGACCTTGAGTTTGGAGTTGTAGTTCACCTACATCCAGAGATCACTGTGGACTCAAACAATGATGGATCTGGACCAAACTCTACATGAATACTCAATATGCCCAAATGTGAACACTGGTGGAGTTTGGGGAAAATAGAATCTTGACATTTGGGAGTTGTAGTTGCTGGGATTTATAGTTCACCTACAATCACAGAGCATTCTGAACCCAACCAACGATTGGAATTGAGCCAAACTTGGCACACAGTTCTCCCATGACCAACAGAAAATACTGGAAGGGTTTGGTGGGCATGTGTCCTTTGGTTTTGGAGTTGTAGTTCACCTACATCCAGAGATCACTGTGGACTCAAACAATGATGGATCTGGACCAAACTCTACACGAATACTCAACATGCCCAAATGTGAACACTGGTGGAGTTTGGGGAAAATAGAATCTTGACATTTGGGAGTAGTTGCTGGGATTTATAGTTCACCTACAATCACAGAGCATTCTGAATCCCACCAACGATAGAATTGGGCCAAACCTCCCACACAGAACCCCCATGTGGGCCACAGCAACGCGTGGCAGGGAACAGCTAGTTTAAATATAAATATTTAATATGCCATGCGTTGCTGTGTACATGGGGGTTCTGTGTGGGAGTTTGGCCAATTCTATTGTTGGTGGGATTCAGAATGCTCTGTGATTGTAGGTGAACTATCAATCCCAGCAACTACAACTCCCAAATGTCAAGATTCTATTTTCCCCAAACTCCACCAGTGTTCACATTTGGGCATATTGAGTATTCGTGTAGAGTTTGGTCCAGATCCATCATTGTTTGAGTCCACAGTGATCTCTGGATGTAGGTGAACTACAACTCCAAAACCAAAGGACACTGCCCAACAAACCCTTCCAGTATTTTCTGTTGGTCATGGGAGAACTGTGTGCCAAGTTTGGTTCAATTCCATCATTGGTGGGGTTCAGAATGCTCTGTGATTGTAGGTGAACTATAAATCCCAGCAACTACAACTCCCAAATGTCAAGATCCTATTTTCCCCAAACTCCACCAGTGTTCACATTTGGGCATATTGAGTATTGTTGTAGAGTTTGGTCCAGATCCATCATTGTTTGAGTCCACAGTGATTTCTGGATGTAGGTGAACTACAACTCCAAAACCAAAGGACACTGCCCACCAAACCCTTCCAGTATTTTCTGTTGGTCATGGGAGTTCTGTGTGCCAAGTTTGGTTCAATTCCATCATTGGTGGAGTTCAGAATGCTCTTTGATTGTAGGTGAACTATAAATCCCAGCAACTACAACCAAAATCAATTTTTTGAGTGAAGGACATACTTTGGGTTGTTAGGTGTCTTGTGTCCAAATTTGGTGTCAATTCGTCCAGTGGTTTTTGAGTTATGTTAATCCCACAAACGAACATTATGTTTTTATTTATATAGATAGATGGAATTCAATATGCAGATTGGTTAAATGCACCCTACTGGCTCCTTCGTAAAGTGAGGTTGCTTCCTTGTAACCAGGTTTCTTTGAGTGGTGATCTGTGAAAATTATACATGGTGTAGTTTCCTGGCACAGCTGATTGGGATTCTCTTGTATTTATTTATTTACTGTACTTCTATACTGCCTTTCTCAGCCTTATCGGCAACTCAAGGCGGTTTACAAGTCAGTACACATAACAACAAAATACAAATTGAACATTGTAAAACCACAATAGAAGCGGTTTTTTGGTATGGCTTGTTAGTGCCTGGGGGAATCTCTCAACAAAAGATTCCCCCAGGCACTAACAAGCCACACCAAAAAAGCTCAGGCCATCAAATGCTAATCAAGGTGGTCAGTTGAAACATTCACACCTAGCTCCAACAGACAGAGTTCTTTGTCCCACCTTGGTCATTCCACAGATATATAAACCCATTTTCCTAGTTCCAACAGACCTCACTACCTCTGAGGATGCTTGCCATAGATGCAGGCGAAACGTCAGGAGAGAATGTCTCTAGAACATGGCCATATAGCCCAAAAAAATCTACAGCAACCCAGGATTCCTTCTGTTTTGCAAAGAAATAGAGGAAAGGAAAGTAAAGTTAAGGAGCAAGAGTGGGATGGAAAGGATTATCTCCTTTTTGAGGGCGATAGAGAAAGGAAAAGAAAAGAAAGGAGAAAGAAGAGGGTGATGTTAGCAGCATGGTACAAATGCTTGCACCGGTTGCGGCAAATCTAAAGTTTAGGATGGAAGCTAGGTAAATGACCTTTGCAGGCTGGATACAGCTTGCTGGTCATAGTTTGAGGACCTTGCTTTAAGATGTCCAGCCTTGCCTGGTTTTTGCCCCTAAAGATGTCGAACTTCTCCTAGTTTGGACCCTTAAGATGTCCATCCTCTCCTGGTTTCAGACCCTTAAGATGTCCTAGTTTTCAACCCTTAAGATATCCAACTTCTCATAGTTTTGGATCCTAAAGATGTCCAACCTCTCCTGGTTTCTGACCCTTAATGTGTCCATCCTCTCCTAGTTTTTGACCCTAAAGATGCCCAATCTTTCCTTGTTTTGGACCCTTAAGATGTCTAATCTGTCTTGGTTTTGGACCTCAAAGATATCCAACCTCTCCTGGTTTCTGACCTTTAATATGTCAATTTTCTCCTGGTTTCTGACTCTAAAGATGTCCAACCTCTCTTGGTTTTGGACCTTTAAGATGTCCAACTTCTCCTAGTTTTGGATCCTAAAGATGTCCAACTTCTCCTAGTTTTGGATCCTAAAGATGTCCAACCTCTCCTGGTTTCTGACCCTTAATGTGTCCATCCTAGTTTTTGACCCTAAAGATGCCCAATCTTTCCTTGTTTTGGACCCTTAAGATGTCTGATCTGTCTTTGTTTTGGACCTCAAAGATATCCATACTCTCCTGGTTTCTGACCTTTAATATGTCAATTCTCTCCTGGTTTCTGACTCTAAAGATGTCCAACCTCTCTTGGTTTTGGACATTTAAGATGTCCGATCTCTCCTTCCTTCTAACCCTAAAGGTGTCCAACCAACCTCTCCTGGTTTCTGACCCTTAATGTGTCCATCCTAGTTTTTGACCCTAAAGATGCCCAATCTTTCCTTGTTTTGGACCCTTAAGATGTCTAATCTGTCTTGGTTTTGGACCTCAAAGATATCCATACTCTCCTGGTTTCTGACCTTTAATATGTCAATTCTCTCCTGGTTTCTGACTCTAAAGATGTCCAACCTCTCTTGGTTTTGGACATTTAAGATGTCCGATCTCTCCTTCCTTCTGACCCTAAAGGTGTCCAACCACCTCTTGGTTTTGGACTCTTGAGATGTCCATCCTCTCCTGGTTTCAGGCCCTTCAGGTATCCAACCTGTTCTTGTCTTTGTCCCTAGGTATGCCGTGTCAATGGCTCGGAGGATCGGAGCCCGGGTGTATGCTCTTCCTGACGACCTGGTGGAAGTGAAGCCCAAGATGGTCATGACCGTCTTTGCCTGCTTGATGGGCCGCGGAATGAAGCGGGCCTAAGGAGCAAGTGCCGAACCAAAGTCACCCAAACCCACCTCCCCAGTTCAGCTGTTTTCGGGACCGAAATGTTGCCGGCTTCCAGGACTTTGTTGTTGCGTCTTTGTTTGTTTGAGAAGGACTCTTTGTTTGGCTTTGCAAAGTGGGAGTGCGGTGGGAACCCCTAAACCCAACCCAGTCCCAGAAATTTTCCCAGTCCCAGAAATTTTAAAATAGGGGGTTTCCTCAAGTGCATTTCTGTGTCTCCCAAGAGGAGACTGCTGCTGGCATCTTTGTCGCCTTTCCAGGACACATCTCATTCCTTTGCCTTAACCAAATCCCCACCCCAACCCCCAAAAAGGCCCTTTTTAATTATTTGTGCTGGTCCACATCATAATTGAACTCAAGCTACTTCCACTGCAGTCTCCAAAGCTATGCAGATGCAATATGTAGTAAACCAAAAAGGAACATCTTGGCTATAAAGAAAAAGGCTACATTTTTCAGCAAATATAATACATGGCGCAAACTAGGCATCCTTTCTAACGTTTTGCATAAAGTCAGCCTGCAGTTTTAGAGCTGCTTTGCATTTACGAGGGGTGTTCACTAAAGATTTCCCCTGACCCACTTCCTGTGGACTGAGAGCAATGGAACTTGGCCCAGTTCTGAGTCCTTCTCTTCATCGGTGCCACCTACAGAGACACGCTTCTCCCATCTTGTTAAGCAACTGTAAACACCTCAATTGTAGAAGTCGACAGACTGCTCCAAAAGCCACGCGGTAGCTTTGGCAATCAGAGTCTTGTAATCTGAAAGGTGCTTGCCCTTCAAAAATAACTTCATTGTTGGAAAGAGGTGGAAGTTCGAGGTCGGGTGAATAAGGAGGATGCAGTTGAATGTCAAAACCACAGGATCAAGCTTCTTCCATTTGGGCAACAAGTGAGTTGTGAACTGGTGCATTGTCTTGCAGAAGATGGGCACCTTTTGATGAGCATGCCACATTGTCTCTTGGTTTGGATGGCCTTCACAATTTCTGCAGCAGTGAAGCATAGTCTGCCCAGTGATCATGGTACCTTTGCTAGGAAATCCATCAATTCTACTCCGTGCTGGTCCCAAAATACTGTGAGCATGGCCTTGCCTGCTGAGAGTTGGGCACATGCCTTCTTTGGAGACGGTGAGTCATGATGCTTCCCTTGCATCAACTGAACTTTAGTCTCAGCATCATAGTGATGAACCCAGCTTCCATCCTGCATGATCAGTCTGTTGAAAACATTCTCCTGGTTTCCATGGCACATCATTGTCAAGAGAGCCAGAGAGCATTCGACTCGTTCCTGCTTCTGGACAGGTGTCAGTAGCCAGGGAACCCTGCGAATGAATCTCTTATGCATGTGAAGATGGTCTTGATGATTTTATCTGCAGACCCCACACTAATTTGGGCTAGATAGCAAATGGTTACAAGGCAATTTTCCAAAATGATGGATGGGCGGGTTCATCAATAGCAGAGTGGGGTCACCCTGGAATTGGAGCTGTTTACACCGAAGTCCGACCACATTGGAATTGACAATGCCAGTTCTTGACTACATCATGTGATGGGGAATCCTCACCATCAACCCCTTTCATCTCATCAAATGTCTCCTTTGGTGTTCACCTTTTCAAGTAAAGGAACTTGAGGACTGCTCTGTATTCCACTGGGTCCATGACCAACCCTCACGCCACTTCAGCGCCTGTAAAATCAAGACCATGATCACTTCTGACTTGTAAATTGGCACATAACCTATAGAGACTTATATCATTACACATGTGCAGTTTCAGTGTCCTGTGATAAAGAGAAGGGGGTCAGGGGAAATCTTTAATGAACGCCCCTCATATTCAGCTTGGTTTCAAGTCTGGTTCCAACTGCTGGAAGTCTTGTGACCAGAAATCTCACATTTTTAAAGGTTGCATTGACCAGGCATAGGTTCAAATCATCTCTTTCCATATTAGGGTTAGGAACATGAGTGTTTTTAAATATTATTTTGTGTTGTTATTTTTTTTTTTAAAAAAAGGGAGACATCCAAGCTATCAGGAATCCATATTCCGTGCCATCATGGTATGGATATAGGCAATGGTACTTCCAAAGATCAGTCTTCCAGCAGTATTCTCCAAATACGGTGCTGTATTCTCCAAATACGGTGCTGCTCTTTCCCTGTACAGCTTCACCATATTTTCCATTATTTTGCTAGTTTCCTTTTTTTGGTATTCAAAAACAACCCATTTTGAGGGGAGAAGGACCCCCTTTCAAGGCATTCATCAGAGAACCAAACCAATGCAATTTTTAAAAATCCTCTTTTGGTTCTGTTCGTCTTTTGCCTTACGCATCGAAACGTCTTTGTAGATCTGTGGATTCATTACAAATGCAATATTTAAGATGCTATTATTTTCAGAGCTAGACAGATGGGACCAGGTCAGTCCCACAAACAAACATCAGGGACTTTCAAGAGCCAAATGTGCCGAGAAGGAAGAAACTATTTTTGTATAAAAAGGAAGAGTAAAGGGAAGGGGGAAAAAGGAAAGCGCATCACCAAAGAAGAAGGCCTTTTGTCCATATCTGGCTTTGGCACACCGTTAGCTATCCCTTGAGGTCATATTGCTGTCTTGAATTGCTCCAAATGATGTAATATGGTGGCAAAAGCAATAAGTAAAATAAAACCGTTTAAATACAAGCGGATCTGATTTCTATCAAAACCTAGCTCTGTCTTGTTTTCTTTTTAGGTTCTTTGCTGTGGGTTCGAATACTTCCTTTGGATAAACTCAAAGTGAAGCCCCAATTGTTTGGTTCTTTTCCTCTCCAGCACAAGTAGAGATCTACTCATGCAGTGTTTCTCAACCTGGGGGTCAGGATGCCTAGGGGGGTCGTGAGGGAGGTTTCAGAAAACACCTAATTCTGATGGTCTTAGGTGCCCCTTTGGTAGAGAAGGCTGAAGATCTCTCCGCCTGACCTTCTCTTCTTTTTTGGAAACAGACAGTGAACCTCACTACCTCTGAGGATGCTTGCCATAGATGCAGGCGAAACGTCAGGAGAGAATGCCTCTAGAATAATAATAATAATAATAATAATAATAATAATAATAATAATCTTTATTTATACCCCAACTCCCAAGGGACTTGGTGCGGTTACAAAGATGGTAGAACAGAAGCTCTCTGAAGCTCTAGGTGCCCTTACCGCCTTCTACAGGGCAAACCAGCTGATCCCTGATCCATCTAAAACACAGACATGTGCCTTTCACCTTAAGAACAGACAAGCATCCCGATCTCAGGATTACATGGGAAGGAATCCCACTGGAGAATTGCAGCACACCCAAATACCTAGGAGACACCTTGGACCGTGCTCTGGCCTACAAGAAGCACTGCCTGAACATCAAGCAAAAAGTGGGTGCTAGAAACAATATCATACGAAAGCTGACTGGCACAACCTGGGGATCACAACCAGACACAGTCAAGACATCTGCCCTTGCGCTATGCTACTCTGCTGCTGAGTATGCATGCCCAGTGTGGAACACATCTCACCACACTAAAACAGTGATGTGGCTCTTAATGAGACATGCCGCATTATCACGGGGTGTTTGCACCCTACACCACTGGAGAAATTACACTGTTAGCCGGTATTGCACCACCTGACATCCTCTGGGAAGTAGCAGCCAATAGTGAAAGGACCAAGGCAGTGACATCTCCAGCTCATCCCTTGTTTGGGTATCAGCCAGCACGTCAATGACTTAAATCAAGAAATAGTTTTCTAAGATCTACAGAGACACTCGCTGGAACACCTCCGCAAGCGAGAGTCCAAAAGTGGCAGGCTCAAACCCAGAACCTCAATCAATGGCTGATACCAAATGAGAGACTCCCCCCACACAGACAGAGAACCTCACTACTTCTGAGGATGCTTGCCATAGATGCAGGTGAAACGTCAGGAGAGAATGCCTCTAGAATAATAATAATAATAATAATAAAACTTTATTTATACCCCGCTACCATCTCCCAAGGGACTCGGTGCGGCTTACATGAGGCCGAGCCCACAATACATCAATACAAGCAATAACAATTACAATGCGAAGCAAAATACAAATACTAATACAAAGCAATTAAAATAAATCTCATACACAAATAGCATAAACATTGAACAGTGGCACAAAACACATTTAAAAACTATGGCTGGGCCAAATGTAATTAAGTTAAAAAATAATGCTGGACATGAACAAAATAGAGGAGTTGGGGAAACATACAAGCAGTCCTAAATCAGTATAAAGTGCTTTTGGAGGACATAGTGCTAAGGGTTCATTATTCTGGGAAGGCACACTGGAACAACCACGTCTTCAAGCTCCTCCTAAAGACACCAGAGTTGGGGCATGCCTGAGTTCCAGAGTCGAGGGGCCACCACCGAGAAGGCCCTCTCTCGTCCCCACCAATTGTGCTTGCGATGCAGGTGGGAGCGCGAGTAGGGTCTCTCCAGATGATCGAAGAGATTGTGTGAATTCATACACAGAAATGTGGTAACGCAGGTAGGCAGGTCCCAAACCATTCAGAGCTTTGTAGGTGAGAACCTGCACCTTGAATTGGGTCTGGAAAATGAATGGCAGCCAATGGAGCTCCTTAAACAGAACATGGCCATATAGCCTGAAAAAACCTACAACAACCCAGACAGTGAATCCTCCCATCCAAAAATCCTCCTCTGCTGTGATTGACCGGCCTCTCTCAGGGGTGATTTGAATGCAATATTCCTACTTCGTGGCATAATGAGGTTGGACTGGGTGGCCCATGAGGTCTCTTCCAACTCTTTGATTCTATGATTCTAAGTCATTCAGTTCTGAGAAGACGCAAAGGGAATAAATCAATTCCTCCGTTTATTTAGTCATTCATTCCAAACTTTATTCCTTGATTGATTGCCCTTCCTGCCTTTCACCCAGCATGGTCCCCCAAAACACCCCGGAATATAGATCAGCATAAAATACAGTTTGTCTTTTGTTACACAAAAAGGAATCGTGACACAACATAACACAATTTTGTTCCTGGTTTATAACAGTTATTTCCTAATTGGTTCTATCATAAAAGCATGGCAAAAGTGTATTCAACGGCAAAAATGCTTTTGCAGGAGGAGCATTTTGCAGCACATTCTTCTCTAGCTTTTCAATGAATATGTCAGCCAATTCAACCTAGTTTGTGGCAGCCACAAAAACAAAAGTGTCTGGAGTAGAACAAGGACTGTCAAAGTAAAATTGCACATTTAAACAGGAAATAACACGTTCAAACCAGAAACAGAATTTTTTTCCAAATTTGTTACATAGTGTTATACAAAGATGGTTATACATCACTAATTTAAACTATTTCATCGCAATGGTGGGGAGCCCCCAGTGGTGCAATGGGTTAAACCCTTGTGCCAGCAGAACTGCTGATCAAAAGGTCAGCGATTCGGATCCGTGAAGCGGGGTGAGCTCCCATCTGTCAGCTCCAGTTTCCCATGCGGGGACAAGAGAGAAGCCTCCCACAGGATGGTAAAACATCCGGGCATCCCCTGGGCAACATCCTTGCAGATAGCCAATTCTCTCGCACCAGAAGCAACTTGCAGTTTGTCAAGTCGCTCCTGACACACACACACACACACACACACAGGACTGAAGACCGACAGGTTGCAGGTTCGAATCCAGGGAGAGGCGGATGAGCTCCCTCTATCAGCTCCAGCTCCTCATACTGGGACATGAGAGAAGCCTCCCACAAGGATGATAAAAACATCAAATCATCCGGGCGTCCCCTGGGCAACGTCCTTGCAGACGGCCAATTCTCTGACACCAGAAGCGACTTGCAGTTTCTCAAGTCACTCCTGACACGACAAAAAAAAAAAAACAAAAAAAAAACCTCTAAGCAAAGCTTGAATTTTCCATTTCATTGAAATATACCAATTTACTACACCATCAGGAATATTGAGACTTAATGATCCATGTATTTGGGGCCCTGGAACTAAACCTTACTGTGCATAATTCTGAAAGGCTCATAGTAAAAAGCAACAGCATGGGAGAGTTACCAAAACCTCCATCAAGCTCTGACCTCCTGAACTTCCCTCTTAAGCTCTTCTGTCCATCTCCATCCCAGTCTAGCAATAGTGAAATTTGCCTCCCATTAGTCTGCCTGCAGCATGAATGGCACTTCTGGTTAATTGAGCGTGACAGAGCCTTGTTGGAGCAAGCAGAGTATGTTGCCAACAGAGAAGAAACCCACCTCTTTTTCGTCTGGTGCATTTTTTCCAAAGTCAAAGGGTTCACAATAAGGTAAGATTGCAGCCTCAGTTGAATGGCAGGAAGGAGAAAGCAACTGAGCTCCACCAGGTAAGCAGGGCATATATCAGTTTCTGAGAAAGGGTAGGGAGATGGGACACACCGTTCTGGTGTCCCCCATCGCAACCATCTTCTCGCGTGAACTTTGGAGGTGGTGGGCAGTTCAAGAAAGCTTCCCGGTCAAGGAAGCTGAGCAGAGAGGTCTCGTTGGCACAGTGGAGCCCCTCGATGAGCCCTTGGTAGGTGAGGATCCAGGTGGCCAGCCACAACATGGAGCAGTCACACTCCCAAGGGTTGTGAGACAAGGAGATGCGCCTCAGCTTGGGCAGGTCCACAAAGAGGTGGCTGGAGAGGTGGCTCAGGTTGTTGCGGTTTAAGTGGAGGAAGTCCAGCTCCTTCAAGGCGGAGAAGGCCGAGCTGGCAATGGAGGCGATGCGGTTGTTGTTGAGGTACAGCTTCCGCAGGTTGCGCAGGCTGCCAAAGGGGCAACTGATCCCGGTGAGATGGTTGGCCTCGAGGTGCATGGTCCTGAGCCGCGTTAATCCGGCAAAGAGCTGCTTAGGCAAATCGGAGAGGCGGTTGTGTCCTAAATTCAACACACCCAACCTGTCCAGTCGGAGGAATGCATCCTTCTGGATGGTCCAGATGCGGTTCTTGCGCAGGTTCAAGTCCTTCAGGGCCACCATGTCTTTGAGGGAGTCCCTCCCGATGGCTTCGATGTTGTTCCTCTCCAGGGAGAGCTTTGTCAGGTGCACCAGTTTCCGGAAAGCCTCCGGGATGTAGCGCATGTTGTTGGAGGTTAAGTCGAGGGCTTCCAAGGAAGGCAGGTGGGAGAAGACAAAAGGATGGATCTCAAAGAGGTTGCAGTGGGACAGGTCCAAGCTGATGAGGTTCTTGAGGCCTTCAAAGGTGTTGGCATGGAGGTAGGTCAGCCTTGGGTTCTGGCTCAGGTGGAGCACCCTCAGGTTGCAGAGAGATTTGAATGCTCCGGGATACAAGAAGGTCAAGTTGTTGCGGCTCAACCAAAGGCTATTGAGGTAGGTCAGGTTGCTGAAGGCGTCAGCAGTCAGGAGGCGAAGGAAGTTGTTGGAGAGGTTGAGTGAAATGGTGGAGGCCGCAATATCCTTGGGGAGGCGCCGGAGGCCAGCTCGGTCGCAGGAAATGATGGCGTCAGGGGAGCATTTGCAGGAGGGAGGGCACGGCAGGTGGCTTGAGCCCCGGCTGGACCCCAAAGGACTGGTCAAGAGAGAGAAGAGGACCAGGAGGAAGAGCAGGAAGAAGGAGACATGCATAGCCTTGGCATAGGTCAAAGAGCATGGACGATGGCCCCCAGCAAGAAAGGAAGACCAGCAAAGGGCAAGGCGCCTGGTGAGTGCAATGAAACTGAGGGAGCTTAAGTCAACCACAGGCCGGGCAGTGCAGTGGGGGAAGCCGGGGGATAAAGGAATTAGTCAAATGAAGGCTAATAATCCCTGCTCTGTACGTCCAAGCAACAGGTGGAAGGATCAAATGCCTTGCAAAGAGGAGACAGCAAGGGCATTAATAACCAAATGCAAGAGCACAGAAAGGTTTGGTCCAGAATGGGCTACTTCTCCACTTCCTTGAAAAGTAGCGGTGGGATGAGGATGGGTAATCTCTGGTCTGTGCATTTAAGAACAGAGGGGATGTCTTCACTGTAGAATTAATGCAGTTTGGCACCTCCTTAACTCAATATTAGATCCCTTCCAGTCCAGTTTTCATAAGGGGCATGGGACGGAGATGCCAGATGGATCAAGATCAGCACTGCTTGTGTTACTGGACCTTACAGCAGCATTTGATACGGTTGATCACAACCTTTTGATTCACCGCCTAGCCATGGCTGGAATTAGGGGGATGGCACTTAAATGGCTGTCCTCTTTCCTCCAGAAACGGGGTCAACGTGTGGAGTGGGAAGGGTCGGTCTTTAAGAGGGCCCCTCTTAAATGTGGGGTCCCTCAGGGGCTATCCTTTCTCCTCTGCTGTTTAACATGTATATGCGGCCACTTGCCCAGCTGGTACGAGGCTTTGGGCTTGAGTGCTATCAGTATGCTGATGACACTCAACTCATTCTGAGGATGGAAGGCCAACCGGACTCCATAACCGATAATTTCCATCAATGCCTTGAGGCCGTTACTGGATGGTTGCGTGCCAGCAGGTTGAGGGTGAATCCAGCGAAGATGGAGATCTTTTGGCTGGGCCGCCCAGACGGAGGGGTGATCCAGTTGCCTGCCCTGGATGGCGTGACATTATGCCCGTCATCTTTAGTAAAGAGTCTGGGAGTCCTTTTAGACCCTCTGCTGACGATGGAGGCCCAGGCCTCCGCTGCGAGCAGAGTCACATTTTTCCATCTGCTTCAGGCTAGGCGTTTGGCTCCCTATCTGTCCAGGGACGACCTGGCCACTATGATCCAGGCTACGGTCATCTCAAGGTTGGACTACTGTAACACCCTCTACATAGGCCTGCCTTTATCGGTGATCCAGGAACTTAAACTAGTGCAAAATGCTGCTGTCCAACTTCTTGCAGGGATCTCAGTGAGGTGTCATATCACTCCAATCCTGCAGCAACTCCACTGGTTGCCAAGTGAGTATCAGATTACCTTCAAAGTGCTGATTCTTACCTTCAAAGCCTTATATGGCTTGGGACCAGAATACCTGAGGGACCGCCTCATCCCCTACAAACCCCAGAGATCACACATTCAGATGACCAGAATTTATTTGAAGTTCCCAATTTTAGGACCTTACACCTGATGTCTACTAGGCGTAGAGCACTTACAGTAGTGGCTCCTTACCTGTGGAATGCCTTGCCAGCGGGGACATGAGCTCTCCGAGATTTACTATCCTTTCGTAGAGCTTGTAAAACTTATTTATTTAGGCTGGCATTTGAACCTTGCTGATCAAATGTTTCCTTGATTTTAATGTTATGTATTACATGTGTATATTGTGAACCGCTCCAATCCTTCGGGGAGTGGCGGTATATAAATTGATTAATAAATAAATAAAATAAAAATAAAGGTCAACAGCTAGCTACACAAATTGGTCGGAAGCTCATTCCGATCCGGGCTGGCTTCGAACGCATGACATTTTGGTCAGTGGTGATCTTAATGCAGCTGACTCCTTCTCCTTCTCCTCTTCTTCTTCTCTCTTCTTTCCTCCTTTAAAAAAAGTTGTTTGGAAATTGGGTAGGAGCCTCATATTCACATGGATTACATTCCTGGATTTTTAGTAGATATACGTTATGTCTGCAATACATTTCCCTGCCAAACTTCAAAACGTGCTGATAAAAATAAATATTATCACAAAAAAAATGTTCTCTTCCTCCTTTTTATTGTGTAGGAGAGCCGAGAAATAGAACAGTGGGGCGACCTTAGATAAGAAAATCATCTTTTTAATTTGCTTTCTCACTTTCTTAGGCAATGGGGATGGGAGCCCGAAATAACCAAAATAGCCTTCCTGATCTTGGCAGCCAAGCAGGGTTAGCCCTGGTTAGGATCTAGATGGGAGACTGCCAATGAATTTTAGGGGCCGGAGGCTTATTTTAGAGGAAGAAATTGGCAAAACCACCTCTGAAATGAATAGATTCGATGGACAACTTGAAAACACACACATGCAACAGGGAGACTGAGAAAGAGGGTGAAAGGAACAGCAGATGACTGTGTCTGAAAAACATTTCACCTCGTTCCACTTGGAAGGCAAATGTGTGAAGAAAGTCTTGTTGAGTCTGGAAGCTCAACAACCCACTCAGGGCCTCCCTTAGAATAAACATTATGGGCAAGAGGCCGGATCAGTTTTCAGTGCAAGTTGAGTTGCCTTTCCCCAGGATTTGAATCCTAATTTTAAAAAGGAACTGGCTACCATTTGTTTGTTCAGTGTATAACCCAGATTTGTCCTATCAAAGTGGTTTCAGCTCTGTAAGAACCACAGGTTCTTATTTGGCGTGTCAAGCCAAATAAGACAGGCAGAAATAATAATAATAATAATAATAATAATAATAATAATAATGCGTTATCATTGAGTCTCCTACCTCTCCGAGGGGACTCAAATGAAGGCAAAGAATAGAGGCTTTTATTCACTTTGGCCAAAGTAGATGTCAGCGGTGTCTGCGCTCTGAAGACTGACATACTCCAATGCAAACATATAGAAATATTTATAGGACCTTGATAGCCATTTGAAACAAAGGACTTGTGCTGCCCTGAGTGTCAATTGGTCCAGATTGTGGCCAGCTAGGATCCACAGGCCGGTTTGCTGGGAATCAGACATGATACAGAAGACAATGGATTCCCAAAATCACAACAAACACAAATCCACTACAAGTCGTAGTACATAAATCACAAAGGTAAATGTTTTTTTTCAGCTTATATAATACAATATTAAATGTATAACCAACTTATATGATGCAGCATTGAGCAATATACAATGAACAAAAAACTGTTGTTTATACAGTGATTTTACATCAGTAACAAGAGTAGAGTCTTTCTTGGTGTAAAGCAGACTTCTCTTAAGGGCATAAGATCCCTTACTTCACAGAAAGATACTCTTGAGTGGAGTTTCCAGTCCTTTGTAAGAGGATATCCACATAGAGGATTTCCAGAGTGTTTGTGACACTTGTACATCCAGCCTAAAAGTCATCTGAGGAGTGAAAGGTCACCTAGGACTTGGCTATTAAGTGTTTGCTATGGCTATGGATTTTGGGGTTCTCCTTGGGGTCTCAGGATTTTGATAACAAAAGGATCTAAGGCAGTTGTCAACTGCCATCAAGTCAACTGGTCTGGAGGGTCTGGAGAACAAGCCCTATGAAGAGCAGCTTAAAGAGCTGGGCATGTTTAGCCTGAAGAAAAGAAGGCTGAGAGGAGATATGATAGCCATGTATAAATATGTGAGAGGAAGCCACAGGGAGGAGGGAGCAAGCTTGTTTTCTGCTGCCCTGGAGACTAGAACACGGAACAATGGCTTCAAACTACAAGAAAGGAGATTCCATCTGAACATTAGGAAGAACTTCCTGACTTTGGGCTTCGGCCTGTTGTAAGCCACATCGAATCCTTCGGGAGATGCTAGCGGGTACAAATAAAGTAATAATAATAATAATAATAATAATAATAATAATAATAATCTCTGCCCCTATTCCTGCTTCTTGGCAGGAGATTGGACTGGATGGCCCATGAGGTCTCTTCCAACTCTATGATTCTATGATATGACTTTGATTTATGGAGAATCCAAGAAGAAGAGACCTCCAAGTCCCCCTATCAGGGCAACCTTGAACACAATCGAGAACACTGCTTTAGCATTTCTAGGTCCTCCGGTATAATTCTATAGTCAACATCAGTGGGAGGCATACCATATAATTGTGGAGGAACCAGAAAATGCCTAAAGAGGTCATTATTATAGCATTTCTAGGTCCTGTAATTCAACTCTATGGGGAGGCATGCCACAGAATTGTGCTGGAAGACCCAGAATATGCCAACAGGAGCCATTGTTCTAGCATTTCTAGGTCTTCCACTGTGCCTCAATGGTCAAGGTTCAGGGAAGGCATGACATAGAATTGCACTAGAGGACCTATAAAGGTGACATTTGATTGGCACATGAAATTGTGGTTATGGATCCCATGGCTTTGAAGGTCATACTGTATCACTTAATTGCTCAGCCACCAAGAGTGGGTTATTTGTTTCTGAAGGTCATTAAGTCCTCCAGTAGCTTCTTATCTCACCAAGAATGAAGATAAATCCCATCCATGTCTGTATGGAAACCCCTCCCTCAGAGACCTGGGATGACCTTAGGCTAATGCTGACTGTCTCTGGTCTCTAATCTTGCCCTCTGTTATTAGTACATGATGCTTGGGGATTCTTAAACTGAAAGATCTCCTTCTTCTTGCGATTATCCTTCTGAGCTTTATGCAAACTTCTCACATTTTTGCATTAATTCCTCCCTCCAGAGGAAGCTTCCCTTCCTGCAGAAAACCTCCACAGACTTTCCTTCCAAGCCATGCAATGAAAATTAATGGCACCATTTCAAAATATTCAGAGTAACCTCAGCCAGTCCTCCAAATTGTCTTCTTTTTCTCACCCGTGGCTATGTTGGATGCATGATATGTTTTAATTCTATATCAGATGCATCATATATTTCCGTTCCAGTTTATTTCTTCGAATCCTTAATGCTGACTTCATCCTTATGGACAATCTACTCAGCCCTTGAGCTTTTTATGCGACAGAATTATAGCACTATGAAGCAAAAAACCTATAAAACCTTGATGGTGCAGCTACAGTGTAGAATTAACTCAGTTTGATGCCACATTGATTCCATAGGTCAAAGTTATGGGAATTGCAGTTTACCATGTCAAAGAGTACTGGTGCTTCTCCAAAATATAACTCCCAGAATTCCATAGCATTGAGCCATGGCGGTTGAACAAATACCAAATTGCATTAATTCTACAGGATAGATAGATAGATAGATAGATAGATAGATAGATAGATAGATAGATAGATAGAGAGAGGTGTCAGGAGCAGCTTGAGAAACTGCAAGTCGCTTCTGATGTGAGGATTGGCTGTCTGCAAGGACATTGCCTAGGGGATGCCCAGATGTTTTTTGATGTTTTACCATCCTTGTGGGAGGCTTCTCTCATGTCCCTGCATGGGGAGCTTGAGCTGACAGAGGGAGCTCATCTGCACTCTCCCCGAATTCGAACCTGCGACCTGTCGGACTTCAGTCCTGCCAGCACAGGGGTTTAACCCATTGTGCCATCTACAGTACAGATGCACCATTGGTAGACTCTGGCTGCATCTACACTGCCATATATGGTTGATTGAGATTATTGTCATGGTTGGTCCTGAAAAGGTCCGTTGGTTGTTTTGCTTGCTTGTTTGCATGCTGCAAGTCGCTTCTGGTCGCTTCTGGAGTGAGAGAATCAGCTGTCTATGAAGACGTTGCCCAGGGGACACCCGGATGTCTTGCAATCCTGCGAGGAGGCTTCTCTCATGGTGGAGATGTGCCATCACCGCTCAAGTAGGGAGCTTTGAGATGGTAGAACAGAAGCTCTCCGAAGCTCTAGGTGCTCTTACTGCCTATTACAGGGGAAACCAGCTGATCCCTAATCCATCTAAAACACAGACATGTGCTTTTCACCTCAAGAACAGACAAGCATCCCGAGCTCTGAGGATTACCTGGGAAGGAATCCCACTGGAGCATTGCAGCACACCCAAATACCTGGGAGTCACTCTGGACCGTGCTCTGACCTACAAGAAGCACTGCTGAATCAAGCAAAAAGTGGGTGCTAGAAACAATATCATACGAAAGCTGACTGGCACAACCTGGGGATCACAACCAGACACAGTGAAGACATCTGCCCTTGCGCTATGCTACTCTGCTGCTGAGTATGCATGCCCAGTGTGGAACACATCTCACCACACTAAAACAGTAGATGTGGCTCTTAATGAGACATGCCGCATTATCACGGGGTGTCTGCGCCCTACACCACTGGAGAAATTACACTGTCTAGCCGGTATTGCACCACCTGACATCTGCCGGGAAATAGCAGCCAATAGTGAAAGGACCAAGGCAGTGACATCTCCAGCTCATCCCTTGTTTGGGTATCAGCCAGCACGCCAACGACTTAAATCAAGAAATAGTTTTCTAAGATCTACAGAGACACTCGCTGGAACACCCTAGCAAGCGAGAGTCCAAAAGTGGCAGGCTCAAACCCAGAATCTCGATCAATGGCTGATACCAAATGAGAGACTTCCCCCTGCGCACACAGAAAACTGGGCAACTTCGAAGGCGCTGGCTCCACAAGATGCAGAGCCAACCTTCAGAAATGGGGCCACAAAGTGGAATCCACGACCAGAGGCGGCCCTAGGTAATTTTAAATGGTAAGCAAACAGTATTTTGGCACACCCCCCCCCAACCAATTATTGATATATATTTTCTGTTCATTGTGGGAGTACTGTGTGCCATATTTGGTTCAATTCCATCATTGGTGGAGTTCAGAATGCTCTTTGATTGTAGGTGAACTATACATCCCAGTAACTACAACTCGCATATGTCAAGGTCTATTTTCCCCCAAGAGCGCCTCAAGAGTGCCCCTGGGCACAATCAACTGTACTGCAAATGCTTACTTTGCGTAATAGGTTGCTGAGGCTTCCCCCGGACTGCTAGGGCTGTTGTGAGCCAAGGGGGCGCTCCTCAAGTGGTGGTCGAGGGGCATTTACAGAGGCGCCTCTGCGCCCCTGGCAAAAAAAAGTGTACTGCGACCGCTTACTTTGCGTAATGGACGAGCCGCCCCTGTCTGCATTGTATGAGTGTGGAGGAGAGCAAACCACTGACCACCTGCTGCAATGCAACCTGAGCCCTGCCACATGCACAATGGAGGACCTTCTTATAGTAACACCAGAGGCACTCCAAGTGGCCAGATACTGGTCAAAGGACATTTAATCAACTACCAAGCTTGCAAACTTTGTGTTTTGTTTTGTTTGTTTGTTTGTTAAAAATGCAATACAACTGTTTGGTTTGCTCCTGACACGATAAATAAATAAATAAATATTCGTAATATGATTAAGTTGAAATGGGAAAGAATGTTGCAGGAAGTATCCTGGGCGCCAGGAGCTGCTGTTGTGCTCCTCCAAACCTCAGGGCGTTCACAAATGTCCTCACTGTGGCCATAGAATCATAGAATCATAGAATCCTAGAGTTGGAAGAGACCTCATGGGCCATCCAGTCCAACCCATTCTGCCAAGAAGCAGGAATATTACATTCAAATCACCCCTGACAGATGGCCATCCAGCCTCTGTTTAAAAGCTTCCAAAGAAGGAGCCTCCACCACACTCCGGGGCAGAGAGTTCCACTGCTGAACGGCTCTCACAGTCAGGAAGTTCTTCCTCATGTTCAGATGGAATCTCCTTTCTTTGTAGTTTGAAGCCATTGTTCCGTGTCCTAATCTCCAAGGAAGCAGAAAACAAGCTTGCTCCCTCCTCCCTGTGGCTTTCTCTCACATATTTATACATGGCTATCATATCTCCTTCTCTTCTTCAGGCTCGACAACACAATGACCATATAATGAAGTTTCGAGGTGCATTACATGGTATTGTAGACCAAACCAAAGAAAGAAAGAAAGAGGTGGTGGGGAGAAATACTAAAAACCGGTGCCAAAAGGGAGCTGGAAGATGCAATCTGTTTCTCTTTCCAATCAACTCTACTTGGTAAAGATCTTCCATTTCTGAGCTTTCCTCTCCCATTGGCTATGAAGGAAAGGGAATGTCACAACTCCCTTAGCTCTGCCTCCCAAAAGCTGCAAACTTGGCCAGCAACAGATACATGAGCATGACTTACACTCGCTCAGAGGGGCGAGGGCATTTTTGCCTGCCACAAAATTGAAATCCCCTCCCTTTCTGTGTCTCCCTTTGCAGTCGGAGTTGCATTCCCAACTTTGCCAAAATAGACATTTGTTCTCCTTGAAGGAAGCAGCCTGGAGAGCCTGTGCATCGGGGATCAATGTTGGACTCAATGTGGACTGAAACTCACTAGCTTTAGAACCTATGCAAGGTAAACAACCACTTTTCTTCTTTGGATGTTGGAATATCTATTTTCAGTGAAAATTGTGGTTTCTTTCCAAGGGGAGCATGGTTCGATGTGAAACTGTCACTCGCAGCAGCGTAAGGCAACATCTGGATCATATCAGAGATTTAATGAGCGGTTTACTTAATTTGCAATTAGTTTTTATTTTTAAAACATAGATATCTTCACATCGAATCACTAAAAGAAAAGGGTGGCGCTAATCTGAAGATTTCTCTCTAATGGAGAAGGCTCAAAGTTGAAGTTAAACCCATTTTTCCCGTTGATAAATACCCTAAATTCTATCTCTCCGTGATCTTAGATACACAAGAGGTGCAATTTAACTTTTTCCTTATTAATTTGCTAGTAAATTTGAGCTCTTATTGACTGACCCAACATACAACAAAATAAGGCTCATCAGTTTATGATTGGGTGTTATATTGCTTTGATAGAGATAAGGTTTTAGAAGAATCGTAATCGTAATACTAATCCAGAGTCACAAACAATATTTCAGTAGGTTGTTGTAGGTTTTTTCGGGCTATATGGCCATGGTCTAGAGGCATTCTCTCCTGACGTTTCGCCTGCATCTGTGGCAAGCATCCTCAGAGGTAGTGAGGTCTGTTCGAACTAGGAAAGTGGGTTTATATATCTGTGGAATGACCAGGGTGAGACAAAGATATTTAATCACTCCCATGACCAATAGAAAATGCTGGGTTTGGTGGGCATTGACCTTGAGTTTTAGAGTTGTAGTTTACCTACATCCAGAGAGCACTGTGGACTCAAACAATGATGGATCTTGACCAAACTTGGCAATAATTCTCAATATGCCCAAATGTGGTGGAGTTTGGGGAAAATAGACCTTGACATTTGGGAGTTGTAGTTGCTGGGATTTATAGTTCACTTAAATCAAAGAGCATTTTAACCATACCAACAAATTGGGCCAAACTTCTCACAAACAACCCCCGTGGCCGGGTTGTTGTAGGTTTTCCGGGCTATATGGCCATGTTCTAGAGGCATTTTCTCCTGACGTTTGGCCTGCATCTATGGCAAGCATCCTCAGAGGTACAAACCTACAACAACCCAGTGATTCCGGCCATGAAAGCCTTCCACAATACATCAACCCCCGTGGCCAAAGGAAAATACCGTGTTTTCTGATGATTTTTTCTGATGACCCCTCTGATAACCCCCTTGTGAACCCTCCCA